AGTTGCGCCTTGTAGCGTTCAATATCACCATTGGGTTTAAATTTGATTTTGTACACCCATTTGGAGTCGATGGCTCTTTTTCCGGGTGGAAGGGGTGTGAGCACCCAAGTGTGATTTGCTGCTAAAGCAGTGACTTCCTTTTGCATAGCCGCCCGCCAATAAGAATATTTTGATGCATGTTTGTAAGTTTTAGGCTCATCCACAGAAGAGATGGTCGAAAGGAAAGCAACATGATGTGAAGGAAGATGTTCATAGGAGACATAGTTTGCCATAGGATATACCTCAGAAGAAGTGATTGACGGAGTCGACTCATTGAAGACAAGGGACGGTGGGAGAGACGTGTCAAATCCTTGTAGAGTAGTAGTTTGGCGGCATTGGCGATCATTGCGGCGCGGAGGGGCATCAGAAGACAAAGTAACGACAGAAGTGTTGACAATGGTTGCTTCTGCTTGCTGGGAATTGTCGAGTGACAGAGGAGTGGTTTCTATTTCTGAGGGAAGCTCGATTGAGGTTTCGAGTGGTTCGTATGAAGTAAATATGTCAGGTGAAATGGTTGGGCCAAGAGACCCATTTGTATAGAGGGGTGTTGATTTTGGTTGATTGGGGATTTGTGTTTCTTGAAATGGGAAAATGGCCTCTTGAAAGATGACATCTCGTGAGATGACTATCTTTTCTTGCTCAAGTAAGTAAATCTTGTAGCCCTTTTGGCCATGAGGATATCCCAGGAAAACACCTTTACTCCCCCTTTCAGCAAACTTGTCCTTTCCCTGATGATTGTCATGGGCATATGCCAAGCAACCAAATACTTTCATATGGTTGTAAGAAGGAGAATGACCAAAAAGTACCTCATAAAGAGCTTGATTCTTGAGTACTGTGGAGGGAATCCGATTGATGATATATGCAGCAGTAAGTATGCATTCTCCCCAAAAGAGGATAGGGAGGCCAGATTGAAATTGAAGAGCACATGCTACTTCGAGAAGGTGACAATGCTTACGCTCCACCACCCCATTTTGTTGTGGTGTGTCGGTGCATGAGATTTCTAATAAAATACCTTCCGCCGCATAGTAATCTCGAATCACTTGTGATTTGAACTCTAATCCATTTTCGGATCGAACTCGTTTGACTTGTGCTCCAAATTGATTTTTGACCATATTGCAAAATGAGGGTAACAATTGACCCACTTCCGACTTATGCTTCATGAAATAAATCCAAACTCCACGACTAAAATCATCAACGATGGTGAGAAAATAATGAGCTCCAGATAAATTGGAGGTCTTGTAATTTCCCCATATGTCATAATGGATTAACTCAAAATAGTGGGTAGTCTTTATCGTACTTAACAGGAAAGGTAATCGGGTCTGCTTGGCTCGCACACACACCTCATAGTGACCGAGTTTATTCGAGAAATCCAATCTGGAAGTAGTCGATAAACTTTGAAGCTTGCCTGAGGAAGCATGTCCCAATCGCTGATGCCATACGACCACCGAATCCGTCTTCTTGGTTGCCATGGCCACCCGCTCTTTTGACACGTCTTCCCACACATACATGCCATCATTGAGTTTACTCACTCCAATCAGCTTCTTCGTGGATAAGTCCTGTACCACAGGAAAATCCGAGAAAAATGTTACGACGCAATTATGATCTTTGGTGAGTCGACTAATAGAAATTAAATTGCACTTAAATTCAGGAGCACTTAAAACTCCTTACAATTTCAGTCCGTTGTTGAAGCAAATATCACCAACTCCATTAATTGGGACTTTTGAGCCATTTGCGACCTTCACAAATGCAACAGGCGAATTCTTCTGCGTTCTTTGCAAAGAATTTTCATCAAATGTAATGTGATATGTGGATGCAGAGTCAAGGGCCCAAGCCCATGTAGGATTACCAGTCATATTGGCCTGAGGTTGGAGTTGTTGACTCGGCCCACTTGAATTTGCATCTGGGCCCAACAATTGGAGAACCTTCTCCATCTGCTCTTGGGAGAGGCCCAAACCTGAATTAGGGATTCCTCCCACTTGAGCCACCACCCTTGTGCGAGATCCACCACTACTATTCCTCCTTCTTTCCAAACCGGCGCCGCTGCTTCCCTTTCTTTCCCAATCGGCGCAGCTCCAGGGACTCTTCTCTCTGCCTCGTCGAGCTCCGTCCGGCCGGCCAATCACCTGGAAACAGGTCTCCTTCCGATGGCCGATTCAGCCACAAACGTCGCATTTTGGCTTCTCGCTACGATCTCCTTCGCGGTGGTCTAAATCTTGGAGCGTTCCATGGGAACCAGTCGCTGCTGGTCTGCTCGTCTAGAAGGCCGCAGTCGTTTCACTGCTGGTCTGTGGTCGCTGGGCGAGGGCGCGCCTCTGCTCTTCCTCCAGAATCAGATGGAAGATAGTGGCAAGGGACGACATAGGCTGGATACTCAGAACGGGAGTGGTGATGTTGCCGAAGTCGCTCGCCAATCCCATGAGAAAATCATACACTTGCTCCTTCTCCTTGGCTTCACACCAGTCTTTCTGTGAACCACATGTGCACGGCGACAATTGTGAAATCACTCTTAGTTCGTCCCAAAGGGATATGAGTTTAGTGTAGTAACTTGACACAGACATGGTGTCTTGTCGAAGGAGACTGATTGCTTGCCGGAGTTCATAAGAGCGGGGTGCGCTTCCTTTGGCAAATCTCTCTTTCAGATCTTGCCAGATCTCGCAGGCTGTCATTGCGTACAGAACGCTGCTGCGAATTTCCATCGACATGACTGTTTTGAGCCAGCCAATTACCGGTGCGTCGCACTGCTTCTAGACCACCAGATTGGGAGAGCCTTCTGCCGGTTTGGGTATTGATCCGTCGACGAAGCCAAATTTATTTTTGGCTAGCAGGCCATACGTCATATCGACAACCCACTCTCCGTAGTTGATTGCATGGAGGGGTTCTGCAACGAAGGGATGGCCTGAAGTATCGGACGGCTGCACGAAGTATGGTGACTTCTCGGCAGCTCCTAGCTCGGCGTTTTTGCCGGCGAGAATAACAACGAAGTCTTCCCCTGACATGAGTCAAGTAAGCTCCTCACTACTACAAGTGTTTTAGCTGAATCGTGTGGATTGCAGCTCTGATACCATGTAGGAATTTAGTTTTATTGAATTGAATTGAAATGAGTTTCTAAGCTACTGATTTATACAGAATAGGGTGTTGCTGTCTTTGAGAAAAAGAATAGAAAATGCTATCAAGTATTAATGAGATGTAGGTGGGCATTATCCCACATTATCTCCTATTATCTAGTCTCAGTTGGGACAACAGTGAGCTATCGGTGTAGGTGGGCATTATTCCACATTATCTCCTATTATCTATAATCTTCAATATTTAGCACAAGGGATGGTATGCCCAACCTGAACAAATTAAAGCCTCATGATTTAGCCACACAAGAGTTTAACATGTGCAAACTAAAATCATTTCCCAACAACTCGAGTTATTGAGACCAAATGATTAATTCGCTAACACCGTATAAGATTGCGGAACGTATCAAAACACAAAAGCGTCGTTGACATTTTGAATTGCGCGTAATCTTGGGTTCTTGGCCCGGATGCTCAACTGCTCTGCCCTAATTTACGCAGGCATCATATATATTATATATACTTGATAATCAAACTGCTCTCCCGTTGCTGCCGTATGACGACAGATAAACTGCCTGAATAAAGTGTCAAAAGTTTGAATGGGCACTCCTACATGCCGCAGCGTAAACTAAATTGTTGGATTAGAACAGTTCAATAAGAAAAAGAAAGTAGCTAGCAGCTAGCTGTTTGTCATTTGGAAAAGTTCTCAAGTGTTTATCGTAGCCGTGAAGGATCTGCTCCGATGATAAAGAGTCGAAACGTATAGCTCTAATTAATAAGAAAAAGAAACTAGCAGTTAGCTCTGTTTGTCATTCGGAAAAGTTCTCTAATGTTTGTCGTAGGTGTGAAGGATCTGCTCCGATGAAACTTGATGCCATAGTTATGCCGGATAATAATAATGCATATATTTAAAACCCCATTGATGTTGCATTTGGAGAAAAACCCAAAACTAACCGACCAATACATATCTTGAAACTAGTTTACTCTTGGCATATAACGTCTGCTTGCATTCACATGTACTTTGATATGCTTCGATAAATCAGAACGATTGCTTATTATTTTTATGATTAATTTGATCTTGTGGTTGGGGTTTATATATACAATTTAGGCTTATGTACGTTGAACGTAAGCTAAGCTGACCGTACGCCTAACAAGTTTCGTTATTTAGATCATGAATTAACCAGAGTATAAGTGAACCTCAGTTTCTAATTCTCTGAACTCAAATCATAAGCTCAATGTAATTAAATAAATAATAATCGATGTTTCTAATTCGTCTAAGTATATATACACATATACCTTGAATTAATTGGAGTTCCGAGCATGGTAGTATACCTTAAACCCTGACGAGTAAAACCTAGGTTCTGTTTTCTAGATCCTATACCATAAGAGCAATTTAATTAGAAATAATAATCGACGGTTTTGATTCGTTGAAGTACATCCAATTCTAGATGCATCATCTTAGGCACGGATTAGGATCTATGATTAGATAATTAGGACTCAGATCGAGTTTACCAATTAAGAGTTAGAGTATAGTATCATGTCTGTAAATTTAGTTAATTCAAGATCTAAATAATATTTTCTCGAGTCCTAAAATTCACATACATAAAAAATACAATATGTATTTAAAATCAGAAAATTTATATGAAAAATACTAACATATGGCTGCGTGGGCAATATAATAGTTCATTTGAATTTGGCAAAGATGAGACAGCAATTATTTGATGTTGTATTAAAATAACTCTTGCGTCTACCAACTGAGCTGTTGAGATATTGACATTAAGGGACCAAACCAAATCTTTCCTGGAAAGTCCATGCAGTTGGCCAAGTCTCTTCACACTCTCCCTCCCAATCTCATTCTTATCATTTCCAACACCTCTATAAATACCCACAAACTCCTCAGCTTCTCCCATAACCCACACAAACAAGCTAAGTCCTTCACTACAATCTCTTGGACAAAGCTAAATCAATTTCCTTTTGGAAGCAAAGAAACATGGCCAGTTCACATCGCGCCATTTTCTTCACAATATTACTACTTCTAGCTGTTGCAGCAGCTGCCACGGCCTCCTCCGCCGGCGGCTCTCCGCTGTCTCCTTACTACTATTCCAAAATCTGCCCCAACGCCTTACCCGCCATTCGACGCGTCGTCGAGGCTGCTGTCTCCCGCGAGCGCCGCATGGGCGCCTCGCTTCTTCGCCTCCACTTCCATGACTGCTTTGTCCAGGTATATATAACGCAACTCTGAGTTATTGGAATCAACTAGTTAGTCTCCTCATGTGACTAATCCATATGTTGCATGCAGGGCTGCGATGGGTCGATCCTATTGGACGCGACCCCGACGATCGACAGCGAGAAGACGGCCCTCCCGAACAACAACTCTGCCCGAGGCTTCGAAGTAATCGACATGATCAAATCCGAGGTTGACAAAGCCTGCGGCGGCAAGCCCGTCGTGTCCTGCGCCGACATCCTAGCCGTGGCCGCTCGCGACTCGGTCGTGGCGCTGGGCGGGCCCAGCTGGGAGGTACAGCTAGGCAGGAGGGACTCCACGTCAGCGAGCAGGACCACAGCGAACAACGACATACCGACGCCGTTCATGGACCTTCCCGCACTGAAAAGCAGCTTCCAGAAGCAAGGGCTCAACGAGCGGGACCTCGTGGCGCTCTCCGGGGGACACACCATCGGATTCTCGCAGTGCCAGTTCTTCAGGAACCGGATCTTCAACGAGACGGCGGCAACCATTGATGCGGAGTTCGCGAGGGAGAGGAGGGCCAGCTGTTTCGCCGGCTCCGGGGATGCCAACCTTGGCTCGCTGGACGGTTCGCCGGCGAGGTTCGACGGTTCGTATTTTAAGAACTTGGTGGAGAAGAAAGGGCTGCTTCACTCCGACCAGGCGCTGTTTGCCGGTGGGTCGACCGACTCGGTTGTGAAGGGCTACGGTTCGAACAATGGGCGGAGCTTCTGGTTCGATTTTGCGAGCTCGATGGTTAAGATGGGGAACATCAAGCCGTTGACCGGGAACCGTGGTCAAATTCGTGTCAACTGCAGGAAGGTCAACGCATGATATATTCCGGATGTTGACATGTTGTGGTTGCAGTGGTTGGTTGTATTTTGGTTGAGTGAATTTGGTTTTTCAACTCTCATCCATTTGTGTAGCTTGGAATTACAAGTGCCGTAGTACTTTTTTTTCTTCTTCTTCTTTTCTTCTTCTATCATATGGATTCATTCAATTGTGGGTATCCTGTTTCTCTTTTCTTCTCCTGTTACGTAACTTGCATTGCAAGGGTGGAATTTGCCTCGTGATTCCAATGGGTCTTATATAAAGCAAATAAATTAATTATCTTTTTTTTCCCGAGTAATATCAGAAAGAAAGTTAGAACAAACACTACCCAAACGCCCTCCCCACCCCGCTAACAAACCAACCTACAAAGTCAAAGGAAGCTAACTCTAGCCGAGACAGCAACAGGGCTTTACGCGCCACTCTATGGGCAGCCCAGTTGGCAGTCCGCGGAACCGCCCTAAATTCTATACAAAGAGACAAAGATCCAAGGATACTCCTACAATCTCTAAGAATGGGGCCACCCACGGAATCCTCCACTGCACCAAGGCTAAGCTGACGGATGACCACAGCCGCATCTCCCTCAATGATGACACGAGGCAGATTTCTAGAAGCTGCAAGAGAGATCGTATCCCTTGCTGCAAGGAGCTTGCAAGGTACGGGTCTGAAATCCCTGGATGCTGGAAACCTGAGGCAAGCAGAACATGACCGTCCGAGCCACGAACCACAAGACCAGACGAACAACCAGAGGCATGAACAGCAACATCAAAGTTGATCTTCAGAACATCTTCAGGAGGGCATTCCCATGGCTGGCTAGGAGAGGCAGTCACACGAGGCTAAACAGGCGGGGCAGGAAGTGACCAAAAATAAATTAATTATCTTACAACCGGGCTAGATTGGGACTAGACAGATTACAGTTTTCTGAATTATTGATGGATTGTTTATATAAATAATAGCAACTATTTAATCAACTACCTTCAACCGAAACTAAACAAATTGTCTCGGACCGGACCAGTTCACACTCCTAGAGTGACCCAAACTAAAAAGCTGAACAATAGTTTGTAGAAACAAAAATATTACTAAAACTTAATTTACTGAAAATAACTTGGCTTTGACTAATACCAGAATATTTGATCTTTTAAAGAATACTGAATCGTTTTCTGAAACAAGTAAAGTGCGTAAAATAAAGAATGCACAAGATTTGCGTGGTTTCTCCGAATGTCTGGACTACTCCACAGTGGTGAGCATCAAGCTCAATTATGATCACTAGTGATGTTTTAGTTTTAGATTTTGCGGCTGCTAACCTTCTCTTAGGGTTAGTGCTACGGCTAACGCACTCTCTTATAAACACGAGTATAAGGAGAATTACAAGAAAGGAGTATAACTCGATTAATAGCTCAAGTTAGCCATCTCTAATGTTAGTAAGTAGTCTTTGGGTTCGAGTTATTGTTCACGAGTGTACATGCTTTCGTGTGGCAGCTCTTACGATATGAATCGTAAAGCACTTGGAATTTGGTCCAATTTTTTTGGAAGAGGACTATTTGGAACCCTATTAGAGAGGATAAGGTCCAATTTTTGGACTTTTGGATCACCATTGGAGATGGTACTAGGAATTTCAAAATTCCTGATCATTTAAATCCCTCACTTATTTTCCATACGGAAACAAAGAATTGTGACAAAATTCCTAATGATAAGGTTAAGGTTCAACTTTTATTATGAGTGCTTTTCTCTTCCCTCTCTCCTTAACTAATAAGATGGCCTCCATTCCACGTAGATTTTTTGGGCATGTTCAATGAAGAAGTGCCATCCACTAGTGTGATGCAAGGGTTCTTGAAAAGGCAAAACAGGTAGGAGGGGTTGACTTCCGAAATTTTACTTTTTTAACCTTGCTCTTCTTGGTAAACAGGTCTGGAGAGTGCTGGAAAATCCAGATGCAAATTTCTACTCGACAAGTAAGGGGAGACGTGGCTCATGAATTTGGAACGAGCTGTGTGATACAAAGGAGGCACTTAAGTCAGAAATGCTGAGGGGAATTATGTCTAGTGATGATAAAAAAAAATTCATCATGACCTGCGAATTCCCTCCATGGCTCCATCCCTCGTATGCACTTAAAGACCTCAATTTGCCACCATGAAGATTCCACTAGGATGGAATGATTCTGGGGGAGACTTCGTCTGCAGGCTCCAGTACTCGCGGTGCCTCCGAAAACACCAAATGGTCTGGCGAGGTTCAAACCTGAGACCTCACACATCTTAAACCCGAAAGATCACACGCCCGACCAACTTAGCTGTGTGTTACCTTTGGCAAGTATACTTCAATGGTTGATTAGGAATTGAGCACTTCTACTATGCTATATAGTATTGGTGCTTTAATGTACAACTCAAAGTTGTACCATAACATTAAATGTATAAGTTTAGGATGTACCATAAAGCAATTTGTACCATTATGTTATGGTACAACTTTACAACTTGAAGTTGTACCATCACATAAATGTACAAGTTCAAGTTGTACCATAAAAGAATTTGTAAAAAAGTATAGGTACAATCTAAAATTGTACCATAACGTAAATGTACAATTTTAAGTTGTACCATAAAGGCAAAAACCTATAACACCAATACTATATAACATTGTAAAATTTCTCTTAAGCATTTGCATGCAAAGCAAGTAGTCATGTCCCGTTCCTTTACAGCCCAGTTATAAGATTATGAATGTATTTGATTTATAGAAGACCCAACCCAATTGGAACCACAAGGCACATTCCACCCTTACAATGCAAGTTACAAAACCAGAAGAATTAAGAAAAGAGAAATATGATACCCACAATTGAATGAATACAAAAAAAAAAACCCCCCGAAAATTCACTTAACAAATACAACCAACCACTCAAACCAAATAACCCACAATCATGCGTTGACCTTCCTGCAGTTGACCCGAATTTGACCACGGTTCCCGGTCAACGGCTTGATGTTCCCCATCTTAACCATCGAGCTCGCAAAATCGAACCAGAAGCTCCGCCCATTGTTCGAACCGTAACCCTTGACGACCGAATCGGTCGACCCACCCGCGAACAGCGCCTGATCGGAATGAAGCAGCCCTTTCTTCTCCACCAAGTTCTTAAAATACGAAGCGTCAAACCTCGCCGGCGAACCGTCCAGCGAGCCAAGGTTGGCATCCCCGGAGCCGGCGAAACAGCTGGCCCTCCTCTCCCTCGCGAACTCCGCATCAATATTGGCCGCCGTCTCGTTGAAGATCCGGTTCCTGAAGAACTGGCACTGCGAGAATCCGATGGTGTGTCCCCCGGAGAGCGCCACGAGGTCACGCTCGTTCAGCCCTTGCTTCTGGAAGCTGCTTTTCAGTGCGGGAAGGTCCATGAACGGCGAAGGTATGTCGTTGTTCGCTGTGGTCCTGCTGGCTGACGTGGAGTCCCTCCTGCCTAGCTGTACTTCCCAGCTGGGCCCACCTAGCGCCACGACCGAGTCGCGCGCGGCCACAGCGAGGATGTCGGCGCAGGACACGACGGGCTTGCCGCCGCAGGCCTTGTCGACCTCGGCTTTGATCATGTCGATCACTTCGAACCCTCTGGCCGAGTTGTTGTTTGGTAGGGCGGTCTTCTCGCTGTCGATCGTCGGGGTCGCGTCCAGGAGGATCGATCCGTCGCAGCCCTGCATGCAACGTATGGATTATTAATTGCAAAATGATCACGAGATTAAGCGAAAAGTTGGGATGGATATCGAAAAATATATAGTTGATTTCAATAACTCGACTTATTATATAAGTACCTGGACGAAACAATCGTGGAAGTGGAGGCGGAGAAGAGAGGCACCCATGCGGCGCTCGCGGTAGACAGCGGCCTCGACGACGCGTCGAATGACGGGTAAGGCCTTAGGGCAGATTTTGGAGTAGTAGTAGGGAGACAGCGGAGAGCCTGCGGGGGAGGCCGTGGCAGCTGCTGCAAGAGCTACAAGGATTAATATTGTGAAGAAGATGCGATGTGAATTATTGGCCATCTTGCTCTGGGAAGGGAATTGATTTTGCTAGCTAGCTATGGGAAGAGATTGATCTATGTATGTGTTCTGATGGAGGAGATTGGAATGATGGTGAAGGCTTTTGTTTGTGTGGTTTATGGGAGAGGCTGGTTTGTGGATATTTATAGAGCTAGGTGTTGGAAAGGTTCAGAATGATATGAGATTAGGAGGGAGAGTGTGAAGAGACTTGGCCAACTGCATGGACTTTCCAAGGAAAGATTTGGTTTGGTTCCTTAATGTCAAAATCTCAACAGCTAGCTCAGTTGGTAGACACAGGAGTTATTTTAATACAACATCAATAATTGTTGTCCTATACCTTTGCCAAATTCAAATGAATTATTATATGCCCACACAATCATATGTTATATTTTACAAAAAAAATTTAATACATGGTAAAGACTAGCGTATGACTGACATACGCTATACGTCTGCGTTCACACATATTATTTGTAATTGGCTATATACAAAGACCTAAGTTTCTAATCAATTCATGGTATATATTAACCGTCAATTATTATTGTTTATTAAATTGATTTTATGATTTGAGTTTAGAGAATTAAGGATTGGAGGTTCACCTATCACCTGTTAGAGTATAATATAATGCTCGAAACCTTGGGTAATTTATGATCTAAATAGCGATATTCCGTAGACGTATGGTGAGATTAACGTATACCAAACGTACACCGGCCAGCCTAAATCATGTATATAAACCCATACCACAATATCAATTTAATAAAAATAAAGATTAACCAACCGTTTATCAAAGTATATCTAATATGTGCATGCAAGCAGTCAATAATAGCCTTTACCATATATATTGCTTGGTAAATTTTAGGGTTAGGTGACAGCCAGCATGTCTAGCTAGCTAGGTTCTCCATCCGCTTAATTAATATCTCCAAATGCAAGAACAATGGGGTTTTATATTCATTATCCAGCACAACTATGGTATCAAGTTTTCATCAGAATATAATTCACACCTATGACAAACACTTGTAAACTACTGCAAATGACAAACAGCTACCTGGTCGAATTGGAATTAATTAATTTGGATCGAAACTAATTTAATAACGGCAACTTATTGAACTGATCTAATTAATCCAACAATTTAGTTTACGCTGCTGCCTGCAATCAACTGAGTGCCAAGTCAAACTTTGACACGTTATTCAGACACAGTTTATCTTTGTCGTCATAAGGCACCCAATGCGGGAGAGCGGTTTGATTATTATATAAATGCATGCGTAAATTAGGGCAGAGCAGTTGATCATCAGGCCCAAGTTTACGCTATTCAAAAATGTCAACGACGCTTTTGTGTTTTGATACGGTCCACAATCTGATATAATAGTAATAAATTCTCAATGGCAAATATGTAACGTTTTGGTAATTCATTTTGGTTAGACCAATATTATAAGTGGTGGAGTTAGATTGAAATTAGGAGGAGTTATAGACCCACACTGAAATGTAGGTAAAATTATATGTAAAATTCGTAACAAATGTAGGAAATATAGTAGTTAGTAAGACCTTAGCCTCCCCTTCACCAATTATCACGGTTCAAGTCAATCCCCCTCATTCAGATTCCTGGGTCTGTCACTAGTTCTGATGATTGTATACACAAAAAAACAACATCAACCATATATTAAATGCATTAAATCCAATCAAACCTTTAATCTATTCGTTTCCACCTTTTTGTTTATTTTACAAAAAAAAAAAATACAAATTGCATTAGAATCGAGTATTCATTTTCTTTTGAACACCAAGTACTACTATGAATTCAATTTAAACTCACCCTAAAAAGGTAGGCATGAATTTGCCCCAAGCGTAAATTTACATAAACTTAATTTCCCCTATATAAGTTTGGTTAATTTGGACAATACCCAAATACCGTGTCCTTTTTTTTTTTTCCTTTCATTTTAAACCCATGTAAACATACAGTCAGCAAGTTATGATAATTCCTCTTCGGAAGCATCATACCATATATATAAGAAAATAATATTTTCACCCGAAGCAAGAAGGTTGGACAAGTAAGTAGCTAGGAATTGTTAATTAGAAAGAATCATAATCTGAAGAATAGGAATTGGTAAAAGACGCATGGATGTATTACGGCATTACTTGCATGCGGCGCGGTCGCTGCGGGAATCACGTACCCAGCCGGTCCATTTTCCAGACCAATTCCAGGATGCGGCCGATTGATTCATCGATCGATCGGGCTCCAGGCTAACTAGATCGTCCCAATTTTGATCGGACCGGTCGAAAGCGCAATTGAGTTTGCAGAAGGCGACACTAGTACTCCAAAAGGCGACACGCGCGAAGGTGGTTGTCGACAAGATGCAGGATCAAAAGTTAACGTGGTGTGGCTGGCAATTTGGTCCAGGATTGTTTGGTTTTACCCGAAACCGAACCGTATAACCCGGATCGGGACCGGACTGAGACCGGATAGCAAACAATTCAATCTCATATTCGGGCTTAGATTTGAGGTAAAAAACCCGGATAAAGACCGGATAAGAGACCCCAACACTCAAATCCCCACAAGCTCAATCTAAAATCAAAATCAAATTGGCACCGGACCGGGTCAAGACCGGAGTGTATCCAATCCAATCTTTGGTCCTTATATTCCCGAAAAGACCGGACTGGGACCAGATCAATTTGGTCCAATTTAACCGGACCGGACCGTATAGTCACCCCTAGTACGTGTGCTAGCAGGCACCTGCTGGCCAGTGTGATCTTTACAGAAAATCGGATCATGTTCGTATATTACCCGCATTTTCTTTATTCATTGTTGGGATAATAAAATAACGCATTTTGTGATTTGAAGGACCTATCTTTATTTTCGACTATAGTGTGGTTTGGTTTGACAAATTTTTTAATAACCTCATATATTACGAGGACATTTTGGATGTGCATACATTTGTTATTCACCTATTTGAAATCTATTGTTTGCATATTCATTTATAATGTTTAGATATTTCTCGTTTCCTCTTTAGAATGAGTTTTTTATCCAGAACATACCATCTAAATTAAGCTGGTGTATTATCATTAGTATCTTTTAACTTTATTACATTTTACAAACAATTCATATATTTTCGAGTGCGACATTTCTTTTAATTAGTAAGTATACTTTTTTACATTCATTATAATCCTATACTTTCAAACTCAACAAACATATGTCATTTGTACAATAAAAACAGGATTCATCATCATGTACAAGCTACCTTTTCTTCTCTCACAGACTTAACACCCCATGTAAGACTCTCTAACTTTTCCGATGCCAAAGTATTTTATCTGGCCATCCAGAATTGGGTCTTATATATTCACATATCAAAGGGAAAGAAAAAGAATAGATGCTTTACTTATTATTTAAAAAGAGAAAAGAATAGAGGCATTGCTTTGCTTTAAAGTTTAAACCAAAGCAAAAGAGCAAATTCTTTTTTCTGGAACTTGGAATATAGTACATCAGACTTGTTGATCAAGCAATCTATTGCACTCTATTTCTATAAATACATAAGGCTGCCCAATGAGAAAGAAATATATATATATATATATATATATGTCCACCACTGTTATTAATTAATCCACTAAAGGATCGCGATCGAAGATTTCGTTATATTGATTGATCATCAGGTATGTACTTGTTTTCTTTAATTTCTCTTCCAATTATATTTTCTTAATCTATGCACGTGTAAATATATATATGTCTAGTTATCTCTATTGTTTAAGACTACTTGCAGTACGTGATTAATTACTGTAATCACATTTAAATGCAGAAATGAGTTTCGTAACACAAGTGAAATTGCTACTTCAACCAATTATCTTCCTATACAAGTTCTTGTTTGGAAGGAGAATTTCTGATACCTCAAACAACAATAACAGTACCTCTCATCAACCACCAGATGTTGCTACTACCTCTATTGTATCTTATGATTCCGGGGAGTATTCCGATCCACTACCCCTCCCGACCGGGGAGTACGAGGTGTTCTTGAGTTTCAGAGGTCCAGACACGCGTCATCAGCTCACTGATATTCTTTATCGGTTTCTGGTCCATTTAAAAATCCGCACATTTAGGGACGATGACGAGCTCCGCCAGGGAGAAGGGATATGGTCCAACCTCGTTAGGGCTATTGGGCAATCCAAAGTTTATATACCGATATTGTCAGAGACTTACGCTCATAGCAAATGGTGCCTTGAAGAACTTGCCGAAATCGTTGAATGTCAAAAGCAAAACAAAGGGCACATAATACTTCCTATTTTCTACATGGTGGATCCAAGAGATGTGCGGCATCAAACAGGACCTTATCAAAGTGCTTTTCAGGAACATGAGAAGAAGTTTGATGCGAAAACCATACAAGTCTGGAGACATGCTTTGGTTGGCACGTTAAAAGGATGGCACGTCAAGAGCAAAGATGAGTAAGTAATCTGATGGCCTCAACTTTCTCTTTTATACTGTTGATGCCCTTAACTTGTAGTTTTACCTTAATTATTGACATCATTCATAAAAATGGTTTAAAGGTAGTTTTACTTCCTTTACCATACCATTTTGATTAACAAACATCGGTATATATAGGATAATTTATAATGAAAACTTTCATTTACTATATATGACATTTATTTGTTCTTAGTCTCGTTTTGTTTTAAAGAATATTCTTATATATAAAGTTGGAGTAGCTTTACTGTTGCCAAAACAAATTACAAATTAGTCCTTATAATATTTTACATTTTGATACCTCAAATTTAATTTTAATGTAAAATCATTGAATAATTATATGTTTGTAACTATATGTTATGAGATTTTGGTACCTACAATTTTTTTAAATTTACATATTGGTACAATGTCTAGATTTCGCTTGAATCCATGAATCCAATCCACCATAACAAAACAGTATAAATTTAGTTTGTATCATACAAGATGTTGTATCACTCAATTGTAGGAGAAGATTCGATGATTTTATAATTGTTCATTACGTGAAATATTAAATAAATGATAAAAGAGAGACGACTCTAAATATTGTAAGAGTGAATTTATAAACTCATTTAGTACATTTACAGGTACTAAACAAACTTCTACTAACTACATGTAACAAAATATGCGACACCTATAGGAGTGTGCAACGGTTCGGTTCAGTCCGAACCGGACCTAACTCATGAGAATCGCAGTCCATTAGTGAAAAGACATCTTAGGACCAAGGACCGGACCATCATTGCATTCTGTCCATTTGGTTCAATTATGTTTGGTCTAGTCCAAATATCAGTTCGGTCCATCATTGCTTCAGTAATTGCAAAATTCATGTGGATCAAGGACCGAACCGCATTATACTCGGTCCGGTCCTGGACCGAACCATTGCACACCCCTAGACATCTAAATAAGCAAGTGTCAATAAATTTTTATGGTGAAAAAGGTTGATTGTTGTATTGACAGGCAACTAAAAGAATTGGTCAAAACCTATCCATCATCTACTTCCTCTTCGTTTCATTTTTCACTCGCCTTTCATAACCCTTTCTTTATTTCTTTCTTTGCTTTCTTCGTATAACCCTAATTAGTATACTATTTTTATGTATTATAATCACAAGTATGAACGGGTCTTTACACGACTCACCAACAGTCTAGAGAATTAATAATTTAACCATGAACCACTATTTTTTTTAGCTCAATGTCGAGTCCAAGTAAAAATAAATAAATATGGTTATTACTTATTAGAAAATCATCATTTTCCACTATGATATTTGAAGACTTGAATTCTTAAGCGAGTTCCAGTTTGTATTCATTTTGCTTCTCTCTAGACTTTTTCTTTTTTCACCCGGGCTAGAATTTTCTACAATTATACATGGAATGTTTGACTAGATATCTACACATATCAAATAAATAGTTTCCATTTTTCTATAAAAAAATTAAATAATTTTCATCATAAATACATCACCATAAAAGTAATTAATCCTCAACTATGAAAATTAAAGTTCGGCATCTAAACTTAATAGATATTTAGATTTATAACATAAATTTACTTTTTTGTCATATAAGTCCTCAAAATATTGTTGGAACATTACATTTTAGTACATAAAAATTTTATGTATAACATTTTGGTACCTAAACTTTTGAAGTTCTAAAAATAGGTATAATTTTTGTATCTGTAATTAAAATACACTCGAATAAATGGGTATCCATACCCAACTCATACACATTTAGATTATGGAAGTAAATATTCACACCCTACCCAAACCTATCTACAAACTTCCAAACCCATATATACATCACTCATACCCTAGCCATAATCAATGGGTCTAATTGGGTTTAGGTAAATATCATTTATTAGCCAAAATTTTCAAATTTTTTTAAATTGGATGTTGACCGCCATATATCTCTTCTTTGTCAATATCATAATGTCAAGTCAATATTACTAACAAAAACGCTAACAAAAAATTAAGTTTAGACTAATAATACTAACAAAACACCATAACGAATCACATAATACATGCCCAGACCATACACCATCTTCCCCGCACCAAGGCGCATCATCGCCACCTAGTTTCATATAATTTGTAACTAATATCAGAGTCGACCATGTACTTAGTCAGCACGTCATAAATAATTCACATGCCATATTTTTGGTTGGTTAATTTGTTCATATAATCACAAAGCATATTTGATGAGGTATAGCGGATTGTGTTTCCGACATTGTATGGTCACATCTAAGCAAAAACAATGCTCTTATGGATACCAATGAGTTGGTTGGAATTGATGATTGTGTAAATGCGGTGGTAGATAAGCTAAGCTTAGATTCCGAAGGTGTGATAATGGTTGGCCTTCATGGGCTTGGTGGTATCGGTAAGACTACTACTGCAAGAGCCGTCTACAACAGAATTTCAACGCATTTTGATAGATGTTGTTTTCTGGAAAACATTAGAGAAACACAAGAGCAAAGGGATGGTACCATCACTTTGCAAAAGAAGTTGATCACTACTGTTATGAGAAAGGATTATGTTGGATCTATTGATAGTGTAGATGAAGGAAAGAAATTGATTCGTGATAGAGTTTCACAGTTCAGAGTTCTCGTCGTTCTTGATGATGTGGATGAGAAGTTCACATTTGAAGACATTTTGGGAAAGTCTAAGAGTTTTATCTCTGGAAGTAGGTTTATCATTACTTCGAGAAATATGAAACTCTTGAGTACTTTCAATGAAAATCAATGCAAGTTGTATGAGGTGGGAGAATTGAGCCCACAACTCTCGCTCCAGCTCTTCAACATACATGCTTTTAAAGGGAATTCTCCTCCACCAGATTATGAAAATATATCAGTGAAAATCGTATCGGCTACTGGAGGACTTCCATTAACTCTTAAGGTTGTCGGCTCACTTTTGTTTAGAGAAGACAAGTGTATTTGGGAGGATAAATTAGCACAACTAAAAGAAACACCTGAGAAAGAAGTAGTAGACCGGTTAAAGATAAGTTACGATGCACTGGGATATGCAGCCAAACAAATATTTTTAGATATTGCTTGTTTCTTCATCGGTACAGAAAAAGAAAAGCCTTCTTACATGTGGAGTGAACTCCAATTCCATCCAGTTAGTACGATCAATATTCTTATCCAACGTTCCATGATCAAAATTGTGGACCGCAATAAATTTCAAATGCATGATCAACTCAGAGATATGGGAAGAGCAATTGTGCGCGAGGAAAATATTGAAGAGCCATGGATGAGGAGCAGGATATGGGAAGATAAGGAAGCTTTGGAGCTATTGTATAATACTAGCTTATGACCCGGCCCCTTGGCCGGAGGTAGCCAGAAAAAATTGATAGTGGAACTCTTACTAATAATATCAACCTATTAGCATGTGGGCCTCGTTGGTCGGAGATAGACCAAGAACACAATAGTAATTTGAAGATAAGTCGTTGAACCATTGCAAGCAGAGCAACATAAAATTATTAGTACAATAAGATTACACGCACCACTTGCCTAATAATGCTACCACTTTCTAAAATCGCTCCTGTGTTAGTACGGCTACTCCTAATTGTGTGTAGCATCTAGTTTTCTTGTTTGCTTGTTGCCCCTGTCAACAACTAAGGTATTGATGCCACACCATAATTTTGAGTAGAGTTTCAATGCTAATTGTACAACAACTATTGTTGTGGTTCTCTTTTTTATGTCAGTCCACTTTTACTACTCCTTTTTTCCTCTCCTTTCGTCTTTGGGTGCAATAAAGCCTTCGCCTTTCTAGGAAAAGAAATACAATCCTGTCAATAAATAGAAATACCTTTCGAGTTACCGTCCAGATCAATTGCAACAATACATGTCATTGAAGATAAAGTACCAAGTAAGATATCCAAAATCGAAAGGTAATGCTAGGGGTGGTAATCGGTAAACCGGTATCCGGTATACCAGATACCGTACCGGATACCGACGGTATTCGGTATACCGAATACCGTCGGTATCGGTATTCGGGGGCGTTATTTTACATTCGGTAATACCGGATAGGAGTCGGTAGATACCGACGGTATATCGGTATACCGTAATACCGATTATAAAAAAAAAAAAGAGTAAAACGCGGTGCACTGAAGGTGAAGGGTTTTGGCGGATTGAGTTGTCAATACTCAATTCCTTTCACTCTCTGCCGCAGCCCGCAGCAACCCAACAACCCTAAAAAATTCGAGACCTGCCTGCCTGCCTCCATCCCTTTCGACTCTCGTCTTCCTCTGAGCAGTGAGCAGCCGCCAGCATCCCTCCCCGCCGGCACTAGCTGCGCTCCCCGCCGGCACCAGCAGCGCTCCCCGCCGGCCCCAGCAGCGCTCCCCGCCGCCGCCTCGAGCAGCCTCCCTCCCTCTCGTCTTCCTCTGAGCAGCCGCCAGCAGCCCTCCCCGCCGGCCCGAGCAGCTCTCCCCGCCGGCCCCAGTAGCTCTCCCCCCCGCCGCCTCCGCCTCCAGCAGCCTCCTCTTCCCTTCTCTCCATCCCGAAAGGCGAGACCCAGCAGAGCTCCTGTCTTCCTCTTCTTTTCTCTTCACCAGCAGGCAGCAGCATAGTAGCATCTAGCATGTGAGAATCCATTTATTTGTGAGATTAGCATTTGTGAAAGTAGCAGAAAGATTAGCATTTGTGAGATAATTTCCTAATTCAGGCCAAGGTTGATTTGCTTTCGTGACCTGATTCTGTTGCTTTGAGAATTGAATGTTCGTTCTGATTACTGGGTTCATCTGCGTTTGACTTGAGTTTGATCATATATTCATATGTCTTTTGTAGGACAAAACCTTCTCGTGGTCGTTCTCGTGGAGGAGGTAATTCGAAGGGTGGATCCCTTCCTCCTCGTTCAACTTCTAAAAAAGGAGACACTTCCAAAAAAACACCTTCTACTGGTGTTACTAGGACTAAATGCCAAATGCCAAATGCAAACAATGTGGTAAGAATTCAGGTCAAGTTGATGATAAAGAAGAAGATCAAGAACAGATTGATTTTGAAAGAGGTAATAGTTCTTATTTCTTTTTAGTTATTCACTCACTTTATTTCCAAGATAATTGATGAATTCTAACAATTTGCTTTTTCCCCTTAAATTTAGTCACTAGTACCTTTGAAGCTCGAATGGAAAGTGTAGGTGATATGCCAAGTGAAGGCAGAGAACATAATATACCCATTGTGGTTGAGGAGGAGGATGGTGATGAAGAAGAAGAAGAAGAAGAAGAAGAAGAAGAAGAAGAGGAGGAGGAGGATGAAGCGGAGGATGAAGAGGAGGATGATAATGATGTTCTTCTCAACAATTTGAAGAAGCAAGGTTGTGCCGATGTTGGCGGTTCGCGCCAAATTAGCGATGGAGGAGCTAGTGGTCAATCTTAGTGGTGTAGTTATGCTATCTTTTATGTTGGAGAATTTTATTTTAAGTTGGAACTTGTAAGTGTAACTTATGTTGTGAGAGTGAGACTATGTTGAATTGTTGATTGTTGGATGATGGAATTTGTGGAATATTTCATGTTTGAGACTTTGTACTTATGTAGTAGTAATGCTATATTTATCTACTAACTACTTGTGTAGAATGTAGTTGACATTAACAATGTCATTGCCTAATGGAGTATTGGACTATTGGTAAATCGTTCATTATAAGTGAGATGTACTTGTAAGATGTAAGGGTCTATTAGATAAACAACTAATTAACTAATTACTATTAACTAATAGTGAATTGTTGATTAATAAAACTTGCTAGACGATAGCAATACAATATAGTAATAATTAATAAACAAAAAAATTATTTACATCATTTAATTAAACAACATTCAGAAATAAAAGGATTACTCCAAAAATCCCAAATCAGCCCACTCGGTATCGGTATTAAGTCGGTATACCGGCTCGAAAAAATAATCTCAATGGATTAACCGGTATTCGGTATACCGGTATTAATACCGGATATCGACTATTCGGTATCCGGTATACAAGATAATATTCGGTATCGGTATTCGGTGGTTACATGTCTGGTTCCGGTATACCGGATACCGACCGATTACCAGCCCTAGGTAATGCCAAGTAGAAAGACACGAAAAGCAAGAAGAATACAACCCAGGAGATTTCAAAAAGTATTAAAGAGTACATACTGGAGTTATGATTAGATGTTACACAGAGGATAAATAATGATGAGTAAGCTAATTAGACCAATAAGAAACTAAGAGAAAACATAGACAAAGAAGCTTGCAACGTGAAAGAGAACTCCCAAGAGTATAATGCACCATGTAATCTCTATAGACTGCTGTGAAATACAAAAGACGTCCAATGGAAAATTCGAGGCTCGTCTTAAGTGTGTCAACACAGCCTAAACCTTCTTCCAAAAAAAAAACCCACATCCCTAACCACCAAGCGAGCCACCAAATTCGATAATCGCCTTGTTGAGTAAGCGAACGTACACAAAAGGAAGTTCTCTAGCCAACAACCTATATACTAAGATATCAACTCTCACCTGCATACGGAGGAACAAATGAACAAAAAACCCCAACATAAGCAAATCATGGAAATTTTGATAATGAAAGCAGAAACAACACCAAACCTGTGTAATCATGTTTAGTAATATAGTGAGAATCTTAGGTCAAAATAGGTATACTCTAAGTTTCATAGAGAGAGGTTGACAAAAAAACACTTGGTCCTTTGTGACCAATTTGGGCCTCAACAGAGAACTGAACAACCCTATGTGAACCTTCCAATCCCGCATCACCAAGTGCATGAAAGAAACATTAGGAAGCCAAGCGTCACCAAGGGCCATAATTTTTTAGGGCATAACATTATGTAAACACAACAAAAACATGAAGAGCATCTGATGTTGAAGGAAAGTGTGGAGTTGAAGAAACCGATTCAGTGATTCTACTTTGAAGAATTTCATCATTTTATATAACAAATTCAACATGCCTTGTGAATTATGACTGCATTACTCAAACAACTGCACACCACCTTTCTTTAAACTCTTCAAATCTGAATACTCATTCAAGGATATAAGAAAAAGACGAATAAAAGAAAAGATAAACTGGACAGAGGGAAAAAGAAGCAACAGGTATGACTCAAACTAACCCAAACACATAACCTCCCTGGAACAGTTGACAATTAACAAACTTTAATTCATCAAAACCCATATCAGCAAAAGATACGTACACTTCCCTCAAACACCAACCAGCCAACCACAATGACAGAGTTCAATAGGCAACTAAGCGATCTCAACACGATTTTCCAACAATACATCACAAAACATACAAACACCTAGGATAAGCCAAACATAATAGGACCAATACTAATGAACCAACAAAATAAAATTACAGCGTAACAATTTTTACTATTTGGTTGTGCATTTGCATGTTAAAACAAAGACTTGAAGGGGATATTTAATGCAAATCAATCTTAAACGATTATCATACTTGCATGAGTGTAATGATTATTATTCAACCAATGACGATAATAACTAATGAGGTAACCTTAACTCCCCCAAGTGAGTCTCTGGAAAACCCTAAACAGGAGTACTTCTACACTTAAACCTTCTTTGCCCTCTAATAACATCATAAGACAATTCGAGTGAGGAACTATCAACAATTAGTTGAGGAATAATTATTGTCCAATCGATGAAACCTACTCACTCATAACAGAAACTCTTACTGGCGAACTTAGCTATCAAAATCCACAAAATCCAAGTGGAAAAAATAAGACTATGGGGAGCTGAATTCAAGCTACTGAAGGAGTCTGCATTATACAAATGCTAATCGTGCAAACTGTGGTCTCAGTTCCAGTAATCATGCAACCTATGATTCTGCAACTTAAGAGTAGACATAAACAATCAAGAATAAAGCCTATATACTCTATTGACTGAGTATGAAGTTGTCCTCGCATTCAGTTCTACAACATCATGAATTTAGTTTTGCAACTTAAGAGAATACAACCACACCATATTCGTGGATTCAGTTTTGCAACTTAAGAGTTGTTCATGATGTTGTCCAGTTCTTCAAAAATCATACTTCCAAATCTCATGCACATTAATTACCACTATTAATTCCACGATGGGAAGCAATGATTGAAAGAGCCAAAACAGACTGTAAGGCAAATGAATTGGAGCAACAGCAACAAATTCCAGATTTTAATGGTTTCATTATATTATTTGAAGATCCTAAGGTGAAAGAAGAAAAAGCAACAACCAAATAAAATGGCCATTTAGAGGGAACCAACTCCTGCAAGGATAATAACAGAAGTTCGTATACCCGAACCTGAGGTATGATATTCCAAGTGATTGTGAATAAAGAGATAACTGGATTATCCTAATAATCAAAAGAGCCAATATATTTTCCACAAACAACTATATAACATTAACGGTTCCACACAGTAAGACACTGCAAATTGACTGAAAGCATAAATCATCTAACTACTATCTTGTAATCAAACAACTAAACCATTATAAGCAAAAACATCCACTACTTAATTCATTGCAAAGAGCTAAAGAAGGAATCAACTTAATTGTTCTGATAGTGTATGTAGAATGCAATTCTCTATTCATCGCTTTCTGAGATTCCAGGAGCTTTCCTCTTGTAGCTCTTGAGTGCAGGTGTTTCATTTTCTTTGCCAATCTTATTTAAAACAAAAACCTTACACAACCACAATAACCCACCTTATTGGATTCAACAAAATTTGTCTCTGTCAAATCAGGAGACCTGAACTGCACATAGTGCAGCTTGCAATGAATTTTGATGCTATTTGCAGTAGCAAATTGAAATTGGCTACCACTAACATGAAACCAAAAAGTGTGTTCTGAAAAGTTTGACTGCAAGAAAAGAGTCCTGAAAATGTATCAAACTTATGGGGAAAAACCAATACAACGCGGCACCACAACTTACACTGCAAGGTGTATAAAAATATTCCCACCTTTTTGCATTGCATTGTACTGCTACACTAAATGTTGACCTTTGTAATTCAACCCAAATTCAAATTCATCAAGATAAAGCTCCCAAGCATTCCCAAGTTCGAGATTTTATTAGATCACCAAATTATTATTATTTTTGAGTGACCAAATTATTCTTCTTAAACGGAGAGAAGGGGAGGAGAAATTACAGCCAAGAATGGATGGGAACGAATGGGAATGGCATATCTACAAAATGAAAGGAAAAAAGACTAACGTGACTGATTCATCAAAGGCATGATAATTCTATTTTAGTTGGGGAAAATGGTCTGGGTAGATTAACCATACAGAAGGATCACAGGTTGCTCGAGGTAGTAGAATTCAACATTCAATAAAGCAAAGGAAGCACGCGGGCAAATTGCAATCCCAAACCAGAAGGAAAAAATCTCATGCGGGCCATATTTCTAATCAACAATTTCTTAATGCACAGAAACCTAAACAACTATAGCTAAAAGAATCACACACATAGGATGAATCAGGGAGAGTTTATTTGGGTATGGGTAGTGTTCGTTAGCTAATTAAGTAATCAGTGGTGGTGATGTTGATACCCACGCTAATCTAAAGGGAACACTGCGGTGGGTGGTTGAGAACAGTTGTGCCTGGTTTCAATAGGCGGAAGCGGATGGAGATTTTCGGTTGACGGATGGCAGGAGACAGAGAAGAAATCAAGAGCCTGGGTTAGAGAACTAATATGGCTCAAACTTCTAGCCGGTGCTATTCAGGGGTCAAGCGAATATGAGGCCAATTGGGACAGAATTCAAAACAAATTGGCGTAGCCGAAAGAGGGGAAGGTAGAGGAAAACCTTACCTATAGAGCACTTTGCCCAATCGTAGTCAGTGTACGGGGTGGCTACAGGCGATGAGGTTGTTGTGAGTCAGTCAGCGGCTGCTTTGCAGAGGACAGTCGGTGCGGCGGGGGAATGGACGTTCAGTGAGAGAGAACTCTGCGAAGTTTATTCCGAGTCGCTGGAACAGTTTTCTCTTTGTCGCCTCTTACAATCAGTAAGCCCGTTAAGATCCACGTGTGCGGGCCGTAAAATATGCACTTTCCATAATTGCCCCTCCGCAAAACGCTCTGGAGGCAGAGATTTTGAAATGGGGAAGCTGTTTTCCCCTTTAGCGTATTATGTATAGTAGAGTAGATGAAGGTACTTCTTCCTTACAGTTTCACTGATTTAAACTTTCCGTATTCATTGTCATCATATATATTAATCATTTAATTTAACTTGTTTCAAAATAACTTCAATCCTTAATTATATTACGCTAAACGAGAAAATAAGTAAGTTGCACAAAAAACTTTTTACTTTTTACATATAGCTCGAGAACTTCAGAAATTATATTTTTTCTTATAATGATTGGTATACTCCAGGAGTATAGTATATTTCAAGTGATCTGACCGTTAGATCTGGTCAATTAATATTTTTTTATTAAATTTAACTTCTGATTTGAGTTTAGAGAATCAGGGACTGGGTTTATCCATTAGAGATTAGCGTATAATATCATACCACAAACTCGATTTAATTCATGGTCTAAATAGAGATATCTCGATAAAAATACTTTGAGTATAGTACACTGCAAGAGTACACCACTGATCCTTTCTTTCTTAGTTATATACCATGATAATTTCCTCTAACGCTAACCACGAGTTCCACCACATCGCCTTCCTTCGGGAATGGATTAGGTCAGTAACCTTATGGTGAGTAATCATGAGTAACCCCTCCACATCAGCATGACATCAGCATCCTCTCTCTCTCCTCGAAAGCCTTTAATTTTCCCCTCTTTAATTTTTGACGGACGATTTCTCACTCATTTTAAGTTGAAATTTAATTTTTTTTGCATAGTTAGATCAGATTAATTGTGCTCTTCAAAATGATATCCACTTTAATATATTTTTCGAACAAAAAAATTGAGCCATTTTTTACTAGTCTATACCATATGGTATTGACTGGTATTGAAATAAAAGCATACCTATGGTTTGAAAAATGTACCATGGTGGTATGAACAAACCAAGACTGTAGGATGATTGAATACATGATAGTAGAAGTATATTAATTGTCATTTACGACTTTTAACATTGTATACCACACAATACCACCACGTACCAGGGTGGTATTGTATGGTATTGTGTGGTATTTTTTGGTCCTGTAATTTGTTCACCCAGAAATTTTTAGATCCAATAGATCATGATGAACACGTCCCTTCTGTGCAAACTTTTTCAAAAACGAATTAAAAACGAAGAAGATACCATATGGTATGCAGTTGGTACCGAGAGGCCAGATTTTTTTTTCTCAAAAAATATTGAAAATTGATCTCATTTTGTAGAGCACGATGAACTCGTTCCATCTGTGCAAAAAAATAAATTAAAATCCGAGTTAAAACGAAAAAGATATGAGTCAATTAAGAAAGCTAGAAAAAATAAAAATGGTCTTTAATTCTCCTTCCTTAGATCTGAATTTTCTAAATAAAGGGTCCAGATTTGGTTATTGATGGGTGCATAATCCATGGTTATGCACCCTATCTTGAGCCCTTCCTTCACCCTCTTCCTTTCTATTATTATTATTTTTTTACTTTGAAATAAATAAAAGTGAAGGTCTCGTGCCTACTTTTAGGAAAATGAAAATTTGGGAATCCAAGTTTGTGCAATGGTAAAAATACTAAGAAGACAATGAGTTGGGTTTGGTCTGGTATCTAAATTCAATTCAACCCAGCAAGTGTACCTGTTAGAAAACTTAGGAAAATACAAACTGGGTTTTGGAATAGAAACTTCAATCCAACAGGTACTCCTCAAGTAGGGATGGCAATTTGAACCCACCCCGTCGGGTATTACTCAACATGATCCGCGATGTGACGAGTATTATTCAACCCGCAGTAGCATGGGGCGAAGTATTCAATTTCTGACCCACCCTGCCCCGTCCCGCCCCATTTTTGGCCTGTTCTAGGTCAATTTCTTACACCATCCATTCACATATCTCCTATTTTGACTTTTCTTCAACTAGTTAGACTTGATCTTTCAATTAAATAGACCCAATTACCCATTATATTATCACTATTATTCATTCATGAAGTCTGCCCCTTCGTTTTATTGTAAAAAGTAAAATTTTGCTTGAATTTTTTTCGAATAGCATATAAGAGTGGGTCGACCCGCCCCTCCCCGTACCCGTGCGGGTATTACCCGCCCCGACCCATTGTCATCACTATCCCTAGGTATATGGATACCCAAGACTTCATGGATTTAATACAATTCCTCCAACACCCACTTTCTTGTATTATCAAAATTTTCATACAACGTAACTATATTGTCATAACGACCAAAATATTCATAGATTATCCATATTATTAGAATCATATAGCCATAAAGACTAATAATATAAATTATCTATATTATTAGGATTCGATATGAAATGATGTCATTATTTTAATGTATGAGCGTGTGTCGGGTGAAAAGCGAGCCAGGTTCTAGCAAACCCCGCAACATACTCAAACTACCAATTCCAAACATGGATAAAATCAGTCCACTACCGATCCAAAAATCGTCAACATTGAATTTTTCCCAATTTGACAAGATCAACCCTAGTTGAGTACCCCACAATTTCGAGTTTAGTTGCCATTACTAACAAACACCTAGTCTGTCGATTTGATTTTGGTTGGTCTTCAAAGAGCATGATGTTGATATATAATTTAACCAAAACCATTCTTTACTTCCTCCATTTCATTGCTGGTCTAAAACTTAACATGAATCTTCATCCTATGTCTTGTACCCAGGGATCAAAGCAAGTTAAAGCACTTCGGGCATACTTCTCATTGAATTTTAGAGACTCAGTTAAACCTGAACATTTTGTGAATTTACCCGAGTTAAGATATTTTGAAGCGGTGGATATGTATCTTGATCAAGGAGACTTCACAAACCTTTTCCCCAATTTAAGATGGATCAGCTTGCACTCGCAATATGGCTACTGTACTGATATTTTCCTCAGTTTTCATATGAGAAATCTGGTGATTCTTGATCTCCGTGGCTCTGAAAACATAGTGGCCGCACAAGGATGGAACCAAATCAAGGTTTGCTTATGTGAAATAGGTTTAATCACTTACTTAATTACCCTTCATGTTTGAGTATTTTTATTAGTTATTTACGTGTGCATATGCTATTTGCTGCAGATGGCAAAGAAGTTGAAATTTTTGGATTTGTCAGGTTGTTTCTCAATGTACATACTTCCCGAGTTCCCAACATCAGGGAGTCTAGAGATCCTAAACATTTCTGGTTGTGGGAAGTGGGAGTACAATTCATGTCCAGAGATGGATATTCGAAACTTGTGGAACCTAAAAGTTTGAATCTGAGTGATGCTAAACTGGAAGCTATAAGGGGAGGAACCATTGGAATGCTGGAGCTACTTCAAGATCTCGATCTCACTAACCTCAAGTGTAAGAATGCAGATGAGGCATTTGTCGATATTGGGACATTGTCTTCTCTTAAGGTCTTGAAAACCATTGGAGCCGGTTATATACGTTGGGAAGAAGAAGAAGAAGAAGAAGAAGAAGAAGAAGAAGAAGAAGAAGAAGAAGACCATGAAACAAGTCATGAGGAGGAGTTGAACGAAGAAGAGACTAAAGATGTGATGACGGAGGTTCGGGTTGAAGAGACTACAAAAGATGTGTTAGCATTAGGGAAGCTTCCTACAAGTCTGAAGTTGCTACACACTTCATCTCGAGTTGTTAATCTCTCGGAGCTATTGGAGCTGGAGGAACTAGTCGTTGAAGATTGTGATTTCAGGCTCGAGATTCCTCCCGTAGACGACAATGCCGATATTTGGTGGAAGGTATCCAAATTGAAATCTCTGGCAATGAAAAGAACAAAGGTGTTCATCACAACAACAACAAGCAACCTTTGTGCTTCTTCTTCTTCTTCTTCTTCTTCTTCTTCTTCTTCTCTACCGTTGGTGCTGCTTCCATCATCTCTAACCAAACTCCACATTTGGTACTGTACGGAATTGGAGTGTCTCCCGACCCTAGTGAACCTCGAGAATTTGGCCGAGTTGGTCGTCCAAAATTGTGGCAGGCTTCAAGAGATTCGAGGTCTCGAAGGGTTGAAATCGTTGCGATCTCTAGTGATAACTAGCCATGATACTCTAACTCGGATCCATGGCCTTGAGAAACTCCTGAGCTACAACAATGTTCAAACGTTGCATATAGTCTATTGTCCTCTCCTCGCAGCCGTATTCCGTGATGACCATGATCAATCAACTATGGTCGTCGACTCTTTACGAAAGTTGTGCATCTACAAATGTAGGTCATTGTTGCATGAGGGTGGCCGACTACCTCGTTTCTCGAGCTTCCCGAAGCTCATGTCTCTGGAACTTGGGGAGATAACTGGCGTTGAAGACGATAATGAACAGGTAATATTCAATCTCATAACTGTCAAACCATTAACGTGCATATCAATGTTTGTGCATGCATGCAGAAAGAAGAACTGGAACTGCAGATGGAGGGGATAGCGTGTTTGGAAGAGTTAGTTAAGCTGAGATTGGACGGCTTCCTATCAATAGAGAGACTTCCTTCACTTGAAAAACTGCGCAAGTTGGCCGATCTAGAGTTGCAGGGTATGCCAAGGCTACGTGAGATACAAGGCATCACTTATTTGAAGTGGTTGAAGATGTTAAATCTTCGAGGCTGCACGAATTTGAATTCTCATCATCTCTCCACTCTCAGGACTAGTCTACCGAACACAAACATAAGGTGGCCCACTAAAGAAATGGCATGATGATTATATTTGATGATAACCTCATTTGCTCAGTAATGGCGAGCAACTACTATTTGATATATGTTAAAACTGATTATGTATATAAGTGTGAAATACAATCCCTTATATGTTTTGATATCATTGTATCATATATTAGCATAACCATATTAGAACTATATAATTCCTTGTGTGATTGGGTTACATTTGAAAAAGAAAAGGCTCAGATTGCTTGTGACTTCTACTCGGATTTTTTCACCTCGGAAGGTTTAAATCCACAGTTTGTGCAGGAAAGGGTGTTGGCCTTGTCTATTGAGAGGCATGATGTACCTTATGAACATCAAGTTGACAACCTAGGTATCATGAGAGGAAGATTGGCGTAGTGTTCTTCAAATTGGTGCTACCCAAGCTCCTGGATCATATGGTTTTAAGGGTTTTTTCTTTTCTTTCTGTAGTAATGAGATTTTGTTGGTTAGGATTTGGTTGATGTTATTTGCCTCATTTTTACCATTAGTTCCCTTCTAAAGAGCTCCAAATTATACTTGGCTAGTGCTTATTCCAAAGATGGACAAGGCTGATCATATGAAACAACTGCGTTTATTTATGCAACTTTGTCTACAAAATCATTGCCAAGATCCTGGGAAAATGACTAGCATGATATCCCCCATCTATTGTCTCCTTCAACATGCAATTTTTAATCCAGTTTTAACTGAGCTTCATATTAGCCATCAATGCCCTCTGATTTCTCATTTATTATTTGCAGATGAATTATATCTGTTCCTACAGACCACACGGTCGAAGTGTGTTAATCTGGTAGTCGTTCTCTATCAATATGAGGAATTAAATGGCCAGAAGGTTAATTTGGCTAAGTTTGCAGTTTGGTTTAGTAGAAATGTTTTACTGGAGAGGGAGTAAATGGGTTGCGTGCTGGCTAGGAGTGAGTGCAATTGGGGTGACAGATCCGTACTTGGACCTCCCATCCCTACTGGGTCGCTCGATACTTGAGACTTTAAGATATGTTGAGGAAAGGGTATTGGCACGCCTCCAAGGATGAAAACAACATTGTCTTTCTTTGGATGCTAAGGAGATTATTATGAAGGCTAATGCTAATTTCTTACTCATTTATGTGATGCCATGCTTCATTCTTTTCCTCTTCTTGTGTCGTTCACTAGATAGGCACTTGACTAGATTTTGGTGGGGTGTGAAGCAAAGTGAAGACGTATACACTGGGTGTATTGAAATTTACTATGTTTGCGTAAGCATGAGGGAGATTTCGAGTTTAGAAGGCTTGAGGAGTTCAATCAAGGATTACTGGCAAAGGTAGCTTGGCGCATATAGAAGAAACCTGGCTCGCTGTTACATCAAGTGTATAAGGAAAGGTATTTTTCAAATTCCTTGATCTTAAACACGAAGGCGGGTTCATTACCATCTTGAGGATGACAAGGGCTACTACATGGTCGTGAATTGTTGGATAAGGGGCTTAGGTGGTAGATTGGATTAGGGGAAAGGGTGGAGGTTCTCATTGATAAATGGGAACATGCCTTACACTCGACACCCCCGTGGCCATGCTAGGGGTGTTGCGGTTCAGGGGATGGTGGCTTCATTGATTCGCCCTAATCAAGGGGTATGGAGGGTGGATTGACTACGTCAAATATTTGACGAAGACACAACTCGTGCAAATATGGCTATTCCTTTTCCTACTCCACCTGGGGATGATCTACTAGTACGGAATTGTGAAGCCTCTGGTGTCTACATAGTGAAGTCTAACTATCATTTGGTAGTATAACTGGGGAGGGAAAATGAGCTAGTTGTGAAGGCCAAAGCCCTGTCTTGGGATCTTAGTCTTTAGAAGAAGATTTTGGGAGCCCTGATACCCCCTAAATTGATAGCTTATGTGATGTGTCTTACTGACTAGTTAGGCACTGAGCTCTTAGAGGGTCCAGTTAACGGGGAGGAGGTGGAGCAACTCTTCTTTTGTCATCGTGTGGCGGCTAGGTTGTGGAAAGGGGTAGCATTGGTGGGCTTCTGGAACCGTTTGCCTCCAGGCCATATGAGGATCTTTTGGCACAGGCTCTTTGAGTGGAAGGATTTTGATTTTGGCAATTTGATGAGGGTTGTGGCATTTCTCTGGCGAATTTGGTGCGTCCAAAATCAGGCTTTTTTATTTACTCAACTCACCATTCTAGATAGGGAGGGTGCTCAGCCTCAACAAGGTAGCTCTGGTTTGAGGGTCATGCCAACTTTTCCTCTGCGCGAGTTGGTAATGTCTGTTGATGGGGCAACAGCTACAGGCTCTCACGAGGCGGGAGGGTGGGGTTTACAGAATCAGTTAGGCATGGCAGCGGCAGTGTCCCGACTTTATTTATGGAAATTTATGAACCATTTCTAGTGGAGCTCCTGGCCCTTTGCGATGCAATCTGTTGGTGTTCAGCTAAGGGATACAATTTGCTGTATTTGCAAGTGATGCTAATGAAGATACGTGATGGCCAGCTAACAGATGCTCGTGGAGGTACGGTGTTGGAGGAGGTTCGAGCTTTGAGTAATTCTTATAAGATATTTGAGGTTTGGTTTGTGGGTCGTGAGTCTAATAGGGTTGCCCATATGGTGGCGTGAAACACCCTTCAGTTTCCCCCTCCTTGAGCGGGGTTCGATTTGGTTTCTTGGTTGTTTTAGCCACCTGACACTTTTATATCTTGTTATGTTTCTCGTTAATACGAATGATCTTCTGAAAAGAAATAATAATATATTACAAATAAAAATATTAAAAATCACTAGTACTTATGTGAGGGGTTTAACAAAGCTTTTGCACCTTTTTCTCAACATTTTTTATTTATTATATAATTTTCTATTTGACATTGAATTAAAAACGAAAACAAAAGACAAACAATACGTGGTATTCGTGATTGACAAGACTAATATACAGGACAGCCTAGAAAACTCGCCGACCACTGATTGTATTTATCAATTTGCACACAATCATACAAAGAAGGAAAGTATAGATGTTGCCCAATCCTAGCTCAGGCGAAGCTTGAAGCTTATGTAGGCACATGAGTTACGCATACACGGGTTGTATGGGTTGCACATATGGTAGAACACATGGGTTGAAATAGACGGACTATGATTGTCTAACAATCTCCCCAAATTGATATTGGTCATGAAGCATCAATTTACTTGAGAGGAACCAATCAACAACCTGATCATCAGAAGAGATGTAACAAGCTCGAACAATACTAGTGCAAACAAAATTGCGTACGTAGTAAATATGAACCTCGATGTGGCCGGGTTAATGGAAATCTAGTTAGCACTCGTATTGCCAACATATATAGATCCATGGGAGAGGGGCTAGAGACATCAAGATCGTGAAGTGAGCGTTGCTCTTTTCTACATATAACTTATTTCAATTACTGACAATACATCAACATACATGGATTGTAAATCCTTCAAGAAAGTCTCAAAGTCATCCACGAAGTCAGAGATGATATTTTTTTAAGAAAATTTATAAAATCAAAATTAAAAATTACTAACATTGACGATCAAAAATAGAACTGCAAAAACATTGATTTACTCTAATTTAGTCCAGCGTACCTCTTATAGATATTAACTACAACCCGCCACTGAGTGTGAATCAATTATCATTATACATGTTGGGTAAAGATTATGTACTCCTGGAGTATACCGTACTCCAAGTACTATTTAGTATGTAACAGTGAATTTCAAGTTCGTATCAAGACACAGTGACTTGAAATTTCACATATATAATAATATGTATATAGTATTAGCATTAGTCATTGGTGAATTTCAAGTGAAACACAATGAATCAAGATTACACATATATAATATCTTGATACACATATTTGAAGTGTCGTATATAGTTCAAATTCTGAATTGGCAATACTCATCTTTGGACACATCTTTTTCTATAGTTGATACACTCAAAGAGTGATTAGCATTTAAGCACTCTTAACTGTTACTGATCATCCAAAGCAAACGCACTCTAGAATTTGCACAATGATCAATAAGAATCGAGCTGAATGGAATCGAAGGGAAGCCATGTACAGAAGTCTAAGGATCATCATTAATGGTTGAGCAAATTAAACTGAATTGCTATTAGTCGCTCTAAATTTTAAAAAATTTCGCCCTAAATCATATTGAATTGCCGCTTATACCCCTAATGCCAATTTACCTAATTCCTACCTTCTTGTGCCGTCTGACCAACTAGCCGATTTCCGGCCGCCGCTGCCGTTCACCAAACCATCCGCAGCTTCCCCCAGCCCACCTGCCATCGTTCCATTTCCCCATCACGCCAACCTGCTGCAGTTACCCAAATAAATTCTGGTCACCTGCTGCGATTCTCCCCATTGCCGACCCGCTCCTGATGCCGAGGAAGGAGAAGGAAGAAGGTCCAAGCGGGTAAAACCCAATCCGCCGCAGCCGTCCCCAGCCGGCCGACGAGCTCGGATGGCGACGGGTAGCTCACGGTTTTCAAGTCAAACGTGTCTCTCTGGTTTGCTTTTTTGCATCATGCTGATTGTGTGGATATGTTTTACCTGTTTCTGTTTATTTATGATTCTGGATATATTTGATTTTTCAACTATTATTGTTTAGAGTTAGAAATATGCAATGATGAATCCATTCTAACGTTGCTATGAAGTATGAACTACAAGTGGATCAGTGGATCTATGTTTGTTTAAGGGTTTAAGTATTTGAAAAAAAAACTAAGGGTATTAGAGTAAATTTAACCTAATTAGGGCGACAAATACGAATTTTTAGGGCGACGAATAGCAATCCCCAAATTAAAACTATTATTATTAGGGTAAATGCAACATTTGGTCACTGAGATTATTAAATCGTGTCATGTTTAGTCACTAGGAAAATTTAATATCAATTTTAGTCACTCGAATTACTGAAACAGGTCACATTAATGGAGTTGGACGGAAACTAATGGGAGAGTGACTAAATGTGACCCGTTTCAGTAATTTGAGTGACTAAATGTGACATGTTTCAGTAATTTGAGTGACAGGAGTTGGACGGAGCCTAACGAGAGATTGATTGAATGTGACCTGTTTCAGTAATTCGAGTGACCAAAATTAATATTAAATTTTTCTAGTGACTAAACATGACACGATTTAGTAATCTCAGTGACCAAATGTGACATTTACCCATTATTTATTATTAGGTTCATTTTGACTAGAACCTGAAATCAGGGGAAGGACAGGGCAAGACAGTCGGTGTGATCTTTAGAGAAAGTCGGATCATGCATGTGTATTACCCGCAATTTCCTTTATTCATTGTGGGGATGATAAAATAAACGCATTTCGTGATTTGAAGGACCTATCATTATTATTTTCTACTAGTGTTGTCTGATTTAAGAAAAAATTCTAATAACCTCCTATATTATGAGGACATTTTGGATGTGTATTCTAAATGTGCATACAATATTTGTTATTCACATATTTGAAATCTATTGTTTGCATATTCATTTATAATGTTTAGATATTTCTCGTTTCCTCTTTAGAATGAGTTTTCTATCCAGAACGTACCATCTAAATTAAGCTTTTTTTTTTTAACAATATTCATTAAGTATGCAAATGGGCAAGCCCAATGGAAAAGATTACATAACAATCATAAAACAACAAAGGCCAAGAAACTAAGCCCAAAAACGAAGCCCAACACCAATCTATAAACCCAATAGGGCCATAAAAGGGCTCGAATTGAGCCCAGATTTCAAACCTAGCAGCCGCATGAATGCCCCTTGCTCCGCACCGCCGTTGGAAGCTACAACAGCCGTCCCTCCCCAAAAAAATCAGCGCCCAAAGACGACAAACAACAAGAGTGAAAGCTCGGCTCCACCATCCCGGATCGAAGGCTGTAGAAGTAGCGCGAGAAGCCTCCACCATCACCTCGTTGGGCCTAACCGCGTCAGCTCCCCGTCACCATGAAACAACGCGAGAGACTTCTGAACAAAAGGACGGTCGGTGACAAGCTCAAGAGGGTAACCTTCAGTCTTCAAGATCGTCACTCCGAGTCCAAGCACGATGGCCACATCTCTGAATCACCGAGATCTGCAGGGTGAAGCAAGGAGGTGGACGAAGGGGGAGAAGAAGAGAAGACAAGCCGGAAACATAGATCCAGCCTCCTTTGCATCTTAGACAGATAAACATCTCCAGATCTGAATGCTCAAACCAGAGGGCAAAAGATCAACCCATCAAAGGAGGAAGAAGCTCCACAGAGGGAAGAAAAACGCCAAAACAAGGCTAGACGGAACAGAAACGAGGAAGAAAGCAGGAAAGCAAAAAATCGAAAGGAAATAGCTAAAGAAAATGTGAGAGACAAAGGGGGCGGAGGGCTGCCGCCAGTCGTCGGAGGAGCACCGACGGCAGGCCTCGAGATGCCAAGATTTTCGAGCTTTAGAGAGAGGTAAGAGGAAATACTTTTAGAGAGAGAAAAAGGGTTCATTATAACAATCTGTGTTATTAGTACCTTGTAACTTTATTACATTTTACAAACAATTCATATATTTTCCAGTGCGACATTTCCTTTAATTAGTAAGTATACTTGTTTTACATTTATTATAATCCTATAATTTTAAACTCTACAAATTCAAATAGATGTCATTTGTACAATATAAACAGATTCATCATCATGTACAAGCTCCCTTTTCTTCTCTCATAGACTTAACACCACATGTAAGACTCTCTAACTTTTCTGATGCCAAAGTATTTCATCTGGCGATCCAGAATTGTAGGGTGTTCAAATGGTTACCATGGTTATAACCAAACCAAATAAGGCTAAATTTCATTAACCATGGAATACAATATCATGACCAAACCGTCCAAACTAATACAACAACCAAATTAACCAAACTAAAGTTTAATCGGTTTGGTTAATTGGTTAACCATATTAACCAATATAAAATCACAATATCATTGATGATGAAAATTTTCCGGTTAATGCAACAATTCACAATTTATATAATGAATAAAACATAACAATCAACACGTAGTTATAGTTGACCCTTAACAAAAATACATGCAACTAAGACAATTATCTTACGAGTAGTATAGAAGTATTCACCTAACAAAAATTTATGACAATGGTATGGGTTAATGAATTGTTGTGTTTGTGTAAATTGAATTAGTCTCTTAGCAATTATCATAGGCTGGAAATGACCTTCGTTTCAAGTTTTCATCCATCATAATGTATGAAATTTATCTAAATTAGGTGTCTATATGTTGTGGTCTACACTTTATATATACAAATATACACTATATGAGCAATATTGAGCTTTATATTTTATATGAGTCTAAAAGGGATGAACGTTAACTCTTGAGTTGTTATGCAAAGTATTAAGTATGTGTATATAATATATGCTAGATATATGACTAATTAATTAACTGGTTAATTTGGTTTGACTGGTTGGAGTGTCTGAAACCAAACCAAACCACATAAACCAAACAAGCTAAAAACTTTAACCAAACCAAACCAATTATTCAAATTAATCAAACCAAATTATCCAAATAGTACTGATTAAAACGGTTACCACGGTAACCAAACCGTTTGAACACCCCTACAGAATTGGAATTGGGTCTTATATATTCACATATCAAAGGGAAAGAGAAAGAATAGATGCTTTACTTATTATTTAAAAAGAGAAAAGAATAGATGCTTTGCTTTGCTTTGAAGTTTAAACAAAAGCAATAGAGCAAATCATTTTCTGGAACTTGGAATATTGTACATCAGATATTGTAGCTTGTTGATCAAGCAATCTATTGCCTCCTCTTTCTATAAATACATAAGGCTGCCCAATGAGAAAGAAATATATATATATATATATATGTCCACCACTGTTATTAATTAGTCCACAAAAGGATCGCGATTGAAGATTTCGTTATATTGATAGATCATCAAGTATGTACTTGTTTTCTTTAATTTCTCTTTCAATTATAATTTCTTAATCTATGCACGTGTAAATATATATATGTCTAGTTATCTTTATTGTTTAAGACTACTTGAAGTACGTGATTAACTGTAATCATATTTAAATGCAGAAATGAGTTTCATAACACAAGTGAAATTGCTACTTCAACCAATTATCCTCCTATACAAGTTCTTGTTTGGAAAGAGAATTTCTGATACCTCAAACAACAATAACACCTCTCATCAACCACCAGATCATGTTGCTACTACCTCTATTATGTCTTATGATTCTGGGGAGTACTCCGACCCACTACCCCTTCCGACGGGGGAGTACGAGGTGTTCTTGAGTTTCAGAGGTCCAGACACGCGTCATCAACTCACCGATATTCTTTATCGGTTTCTGGTCCATTTAAAAATCCGTACGTTTAGGGATGATGACGAGCTTCGGCAGGGAGAAGGAATATGGTCCAACCTCGTTAGGGCTATTGGACAATCCAAAGTTTATATACCGATAATGTCGGAGACTTATGCTCATAGCAAATGGTGCCTTAAAGAGCTTGCCGAAATCGTTGAATGTCAAAAGCGAGACAAAGGGCACATCATACTTCCTATTTTTTACATGGTGGATCCAAGAGACGTGCGACATCAAACTGGACCTTATCAAAGTGCTTTCCAGGAACATGTGAAGAAGTTTGATGCGAAAACCATACAAGTCTGGAGAAATGCTTTGAGCGAGGTTGGCACGTTAAAAGGATGGTACGTCAAGAGCAAAGACGAGTAAGTAATCCCCTCAACTTTTTTTATACGGTCGATGCCCTTAAATTTTAGTTTTCCTTCATGATCGATATCATTCATAAAAAATGGTTAAATTTACTTTTACTTCTTTAACCATACCATTTTAATTAACAAAATGAATCGGCTGATCGGCATATACAGTATGATTTATAAAGAACATTTCTATTTACTATGCCATTTATTTCTTTGTCTCTTTTAGTTTTCAATATTTCATATAATTGGTTACTACATGACATGCGAGTCATCATTAACTACATGTTTATACAAAGTAAGCGAAGAGCACTTCTACTATGTTATATAGCATTGGTGCTTTAATGTACAACTTAAAGTTGTACCATAACATCAAATGTATAAGTTTAGGTTGTACCATAAAGCAATTTGTACCATTATGTTATGGTACAACTTTACAACTTGAAGTTGTACCATCACATAAAGGTACAAGCTCAAGTTGTACCATAAAAGAATTTGTACAAAAAGTATAGGTACAATCTGAAGTTGTACCATAACGTAAATGTACAATTTTAAGTTGTACCATAAAGACAAAAACCTATAGCACCAATACTATATAGCATTGTAAAATTTCTCGTAAGCGAAATATATATGTGATATGCAAGTAATCAACGACGTGCTTTCTAAGCATGGATCAACCCCACTAATAAAGAATTTGGATGGAATTTAGAAAAGAGACCTTAGGTCTATAAGGATGTCAAAAGACGTCAGTAACCCCAAAACATATTCATTCATATTTTTTGCTGCTTAATTAATTTGTTCATATAATCACAAGGCGTGTTTGATTTTATAGGCAAGGAGGTATAGCGGATTGTGTTTCCGACATTGTATGGTCACATCTAAGCAAAAACGATACTCTTATAGATACCGATGAGTTAGTTGGAATTGACGATTGTATAAATGCGGTGGTAAATAAGCTAAGCTTAGATTCTGAAGGTGTGATAATGGTTGGCCTTCATGGGCTTGGTGGTATCGGTAAGACTACTATTGCAAGTGCCGTCTACAACAGAATTTCTGCTCATTTTGATAGATGTTGTTTTCTCGAAAATATTAGAGAAACACAAGAGCAAAAGGATGGCACCATCAGTTTGCAAAAGAAATTGATCACTACCGTTATGAGAAAGGATTCTGTTGGATCTATTAATAATGTCAATGAAGGAAAGAAACTGATTCGTGATAGAGTCTCACAGTTCAAAGTTCTCGTCGTTCTTGATGATGTGGATGAGAGGTTTACATTTGAAGACATTTTGGGAAAGCCTAAGAGTTTTATCTCCGGAAGTAGGTTTATCATTACTTCGAGAAATATGAAACTCTTGAGTACTTTCAACGAAAACCAATGCAAGTTGTATGAGGTTGGAGAATTGAGTCCACAACTCTCGCTTCAGCTCTTCAGCAAACATGCTTTTAAAGGGAATTCCCCTCCACCAGATTACGAAAAAATATCAGTGGAAATCGTATCGGCTACCGGAGGACTTCCCTTAACTCTTAAGGTTGTCGGCTCACTTTTGTTTAGAGAAGACAAGTGTATTTGGGAGGATAAATTAGCACAAATGAAAGAAACACCCGAGAAAGAAGTAGTAGACCGGTTAAAGATAAGTTACGATGCACTGGGATATGCGGCTAAACAAATATTTTTAGATATTGCTTGTTTATTCATCGGTATGGAAAAAGAAATGCCTTCTTACATGTGGAGTGATTGCCAGTTCCATCCCGTTAGTACTATCAATATTCTTATTCAACGATCCTTGATCAAACTTATGGACGATAATAAGTTTCGAATGCATGATCAACTAAGAGATATGGGGAGAGCAATTGTAAGGGAGGAAAATATAGAAGAACCATGGATGAGAAGCAGGATATGGGAAGATAATGAAGGTTGGGAGCTATTATCTAATATGAAGGTACTTCCCCCACAATTTCAGTACTGGTTTACACTTTTCCTGTTGATTATATTAATCGTTTGATTTGTGCAAAAAATAACATCTCTTTTTATAACTGGCCTGGAACTTCAATTAAACCAACATTAGTGTCGTTATACAGTCTAATTTTAATTGTGGTAAAGGAAAGACAAGTGACCGCTGAAGCCACACTTTTGATTAATCACCCTTGCCATTTGATGGTAATTTTGGGTGGTAATTTCGATTTCCATAATTGTTTCTGAAGTGACTGGTGTTGGCAAACGAATTTGAGTAATCCTTTTCCTCTCACTCGGTTGGAACTTGGAAGTAGCTTTGTAACATGGGGTCGGTTAGCTTGCTAACTCCTCTGTGAGGTTGGAAAAATAACACCCTTATTAATTATAGTTAATTATGATATTAAATTCGTGTTGCATTTAATAATCTTTGAGAATTAAAAACTCGTATTAATTACATTCCTGTTTTTAACTACTATTGCACCTGTACACTAAACTCTTATTAATTACATTTTTTTCTAACTACCATTGCACTGATACAACTGTCATTGCACTTGTACACTGATATCATTGCACTGGTTGAACTACCATTGCACTGAAAAAAGGAAAGCAATTAATATGAGTTTTTTTATTCAGACATATTATTAAATGCAACACAAATCAATTACCTTAAAAGCCTATAATTAATAGAGAGTGTCATTTTTCCAACCCTTTTAGGGATAGTTATGCTATCTCACCCCTTGTTTATAACATGTTATTCTCACAGGTCCGAGTTTTCATATCAATCAGACTCCCCACTTTTGCATTCCAACTCAACCCATTCACTCAAGTTTCAAATTTCAAATTTAATTATAAGAAAGTCGTGCAAACATCTTTGAAGGAGTAAATGCCACATTTGGTCACTGAGATTACTAAATCATGTCATGTTTAGTCACTAGAAAAATATTTATATCAATTTTGGTCACTTGAATTACCAAAACATGTCACATTTAGTCACTCTCCCGTTAGTTTCCGTCCAACTCCATTAACGGAGTTGGACGACGAGGCTAACGGAGAGTGACTAAACATGACATGTTTAAGTAATTCTAGTGACATTCATAAACAAATAAGTAATTCGAGTGACCGGAGTTGGACGGAGGCTAACGAGAGAGTGACTAAATGTGACATGTTTAGTAATTCGAGTGACCAAAATTTATATTAATTTTTCATAGGGACTATATATAACACGATTTAGTAATCTTAATGACCAAATGTGGCATATACCATGATAAATTCTACTAACAGTAACCACGGCCACCATCACATCACCTTCCTTCACCCTCCTTTCATTTTAGCTTTCTTTCACTGTTGTGGAATAACTTTTTTTTAAAACCAAAGATAGCTTGCATTACCAAAAGAAAAATAGATCAACCGTTTAAAACTTCGAACGAAGCCAAGCGCAAAAATCAAAATGTAGCACAACACTAGCTGACAATACTACGACCTTCCTTGTCACCAAATGGGGAACTCTATTATTTTGTCTACCAACGAACTGTACTCTAAACCCCGGGAACATTTGCCGGAAAGCCCTGACTTCCCGGAGAATTGCTCCACCCTTCGCGTCCATCACCTCCTGCGCATTCACCTTATCAATTACAACCTTAGCATCTCCCACAATCAGCATCGACTCCCATCCCCTCATAATGCACGAGTACATAGCCTCCGAAGTGCAACCAATTCCACCACTACTGGATCAAACGCTCCCCTTTAGCCCAACACGACAGCTCCCGTTGCATCCCAAAGAACTATCCCAACTGCAGCATGAGACTGACCACAAACAACACCATCAAAAGAACACTTCAGCTCCCCCACGGGACACGCCGTCCCACCCACCCCATTCTGGACCAGTGGACAAATGGGCCTTTCAGCCCCATCCCCTTATAGCGCCCTTTCCCACTCCCGAATTTGATGCATGAGCTGTTGTCGGAGAATGGACCGGTGAACCTGCTTTATTTCAAAGACCACCCAATTACGAGCCTTCCAAATGCGCCATAAAACTGCTACTAGTCTGCACATCATGACCTCCGAGGTTACCCGCTCAAAGACTCGGCAAAGGAAGACCACAAAATTGGTTCCATCCAGTCCGTCTTCTAATCCAAGGACCCCGCCCACCTCCCACAACTCATGAGCCACTGGGCAAAGAAAGAAGATATGCTCCAAAGATTCCAACTCTGCCCAGCAAACTGGGCAACGCCCAGGGACATGAACCTCCTTCTCGCGTAAAGCCTCCGTAGTGGGCAAAATGCGGCTAAAAATCTGGCAGAGAGAATTTCAGCTTTGGTTGTACCTGTAGAGACCAAATGGTCTTCGAAAGCTTCCTATCCATCCAACTGAGATCCTCTTTCCATTTCACCCACCGGCGGCGCCTACGGAACACTAGATGATATCTAGACTTGACCGCATAAGCGCCAGAAGGATCCTCTGTCCAGATGAGTTTGTCTTTCACCTCCAAGCGGAGTAACATAATAGATGTAATCCGTATGACCCATTGAGTAGGGAAGCAAGTTACCAGGCATTCCTCACACCATTTCCCCTCCCCTGGACAGATCAGAGTCGAAAGCTTATCTTGTCCTAAGACGGGAGCCAAAGGCAATAGAAGAGGAGCCTCATGCTCCTTACCCGACACCCACAAGGCTGAGCCTATCTTCACGTTTTTTGTTGTGGAATAACTAATAGCGAAGGAAGTTTTTTTTATAATGGCGATAAAATTATATTAACAAAGAAAAGAAAAACAAAAAACTGTACAAAAAGGATATCATTAGAGCTGATCTCGCATCAAAACATGAAGGAAGTTTTTGCAATGGTACAACCACTAGGGATGATTAGGTCAGGTTCTGCGAATTCAAATTCATCCTAGAAAATGCACCTGTTAAAAAACTCAATAATGAGTTTTGGAATAGAAAATTCAACCCAACGAGTACTCCCTAAGTGTAGTACCCATGACTTCAGTGATATAATGAAAAATATTCATCTAAACACCCAATTTCTTATATTATCATAAATTTTCATCAACTATATTGTCATAACGACTAATAATATCCTTATTATTAGAACTATATATCTATAAATAATAATAACATCTATAAATTATCTACATTATGAGATTTATATATGGGATGCCACTTTACTTTATCAATGTGTGCCGGGTGGAAAGCGAGCCAAATTTTGGCAAACCTCACACCTTACCAATCCACCAATTCCAAAAATGGGTAAAACCAACTAACAACCGATCCCAAACCCGTTAACACAAAGTTTTCCCAATTTGACAGGAACAACTTAAGTTGGGTACCCGAGTTCGAGTTTAATTGTCATCACTAACAAACACCTAATCGTCAATTTGATATTGTTTGCTATGCAAAAGAGCAAACCATTAATTCTTTACTTCATTTCATTCTGGTCTAACAAAGTAACATGAATTCTCGTCCTATGTCTTGTACTCAGGGATCAAAGCAAGTTAAAGCACTTCGGGCATACTTCTCATTGAATTTTAGAGACTCGGTTAAACCTGAACATTTTGTGAATTTACCAGAGTTAAGATATTTTGACGCGGTGGATATGGATATTGATCATGGAGACTTCACAAACATTTTCCCGAATTTAAGATGGCTTGCCTTGCACTCGCAATACTGCTACAATGATGATATTTTCCTCAGTTTCCATATGAGAAATTTGGTAATTCTTGATCTTCGTGGCTCCGAAAACATTGTGTCTGCACAAGGATGGAACCAAATCAAGGTTTGCTTATATGAAATATGCTCAATCACTAATTAATTAATATAACTTTCATACTTGAATATTTTTACTATTATTTACGTATGCATATGCTATTTTACTGCAGTTGGCAAAGAAGTTGAAAGTTTTGGACCTTTCAGGTTGTTTTTCAATGTACATACTTCCCGAGTTCCCAACATCAGGGAGTCTAGAGATCCTAAACATTTCTGGTTGTGGGAAGTGGGAGTACGATTCATGTCCAGAGATGGATATTCGAAACTTGTGGAACCTAAAAGTTTTGAATATGAGTGATGCTAAACTGGATGCTATAAGGGGAGGAACCATTGGAATGCTGGAGCTACTTCAAGATCTCAATCTCACCGACCTCAAGTGTAGGAATGCAGATGAAGCGTTTGTCGATATTGGGACATTGTCGTGTCTTAAGGTCTTGAAAACAATTGGAGCCGGTTATATTCTTTGGGAACCCGAGGAAGAAGAGGAAGAAGAAGAAGAAGACCATGAAACAAATCACGAGGAGGAGTTGAACGAAGAAGAGACTAAAGATGTGATTATGGAGGTTCGGGTTGAAGAGACTACAAAAGATGTGTTAGCATTAGGGAAGCTTCCTACAAGTCTGAAGTTGCTACACACTTCATCTCGAGTTGTTAATCTCCCAGAGCTATTGGATTTGGAGGAATTACTCGTTGAAGATTGTGATTTCGGGCTCGAGGTTCCTCCCGCAGATGAAAATACTAACATTTGGTGGAAGGTATCCAAATGGAAATCTCTAAGAATGAAAAGAACAAAGGTGGTGGTCATCACAACAATGAGAAGCAACCCTTGTGCTTCTTCTTCTTCTTCTTCTTCTCTACCGTTGGTGCTGCTTCCATCATCTCTGACCAAAATCCATATCTCGTATTGTCCGGAACTGGAGTGGCTCCCGATCCTAGAGAACCTCGAGAATTTGATCGAGCTAGTCGTCGAGAATTGTGACAGACTGCAAGAGATTCGAGGCCTCGAAGGGCTAAAATCACTCCGATCTCTCTCTATTACCAGCCACGACACTCTAACTCGGATTCATGGCCTCGAGAAACTGCTGCTCCACAACAATGTGCAAACGTTGCAGATTACGTATTGCCCTCTTCTCACAGCTGTATTCCGTGATGATCCTGATCAATCAACTATGGTCGTCGATTCCTTGCGAGAGTTGTGCATCTACAAATGTAGGTCGTTGTTGCATGAGGGTGGCCGACTACCTCGTTTCTCGAGCTTTCCGAAGCTCATGTCTCTAGAACTAGGGGAGATAACTAGCATCGAAAACAATAATCCATTGCAGGTAATATTGATCAATCTTGTAACTTTCAAATCATGAACATGCATATTATAGGAATCTCTTTGCGGATATATATATATATATATATCAACAACTAACGCACGTTCATGCATGCATACAGAAAGAGGAACTGGAACTACAGCTGGAGGGGATAGCGTGTTTAGAAGAGTTAGTTAAGTTGAAGTTGGATGACTTTCGATCAATAGAGAGACTTCCTTCACTTGCAAAACTGCGCAAGTTGGCCGATCTAGAGTTGTGGGATATGCCAAGGTTGTGTGAGATACAAGGCATCACCGATTTGAAGTGTTTGAAGATGTTAAGCCTTAGAGGATGCACAAATTTGAATTCTCGTCATCTTTCCACTCTCAGGACTAGTCTACCGAACGCAAGCATAAGGTGGCCCACTAAAGAAATTTCATGATGATTGAGGATAACCCATCATTTGCTTAGCAATGACAAGCAATTACTATTTGAAATATGTTAAAATTGATGTATATATAAGTGTGAAATACAATCCCATATATGTTATCATTGCTACATATATTAGTATTGTGGCGGGTAAAAACATAAACAACAAACAAACGATTTGCGTGGTATTCATGATTACATCACTAATCCATAGGAGAGTCCAGAAAACTTTCACTCAGTCGAAGCTTGCATGCTTATGAAAATACATGAATTGCGCATACATGCATTCTACATACAGTAGAATGGATGGGTTGTACATGGGCTGAAATTAGTGAGGACTTAGACTTTCTAACAGCCTCCCCAAATTAATGTTGGTCATGAAGCATCAATTTGCTTGAGAGGAACCATAAACAACCCGATCATCAGAAGAAATGTAACAAGCGCGCACATTACCAGTGCAAACCAAACTGCGTATGTACTCAATGTGAACTTCAGTGTGTTTGGTACGATTATGAGAACTGGATTAACGGGAATCTAGAGACATCAAGATAGTGAAGTAAGCGTTACAACCCCTCCTCTCACTGATGAAGTCAAACATTGCCAAATATTCAACTTTAGTAAACGACTTGGATACATCATTTTGCTTCTTGCACCGCCACAAATAAAAATTGGAATTGCATATATTTGAGATGATGAGCTGGTTTAAAATTAAAATATTGGATAACTATAATACAGTTAGGTTATACAAAGATTTTTTTATAGGAAGCCCTATGATATTATTGCTTAAAATTCAAACAGATTGGGCTTTTTCAGCCTCAAGCAGACTCCTAATGGAGTTTGGAGGACAATCAATCCAAATACAAACTTGATCCCAAAGGATATTCAAGTGGGCTAAACAATGAGCCACAACATTTGATTTTCTAGGCACAAAGGCCCACTCAATCTTCTTACCCGACATGGGCGAATTGGTAATCGCCAGCTCTCTTATCTCTTTGCACCACACCTCCAACGCGGTACGATCCTCATCATCCTTCTCCAGTAGTTGAACCAGTCTCAGACAATCAGTTTCCACAATCAAAGGACTCCATCCCTTTTGGTTTGCTTCTCGTAAGCCAGCTAGAATAGCTCTTGCCTCAGCTTCCACTGGTCTGCAATTGCTAGTCTCCTTCCCAGCTACAGCTCCGAGAAATTCCCCATTCCAATTTCTGAACACACACCCAATCCCAATCCCAGACGCCTTCAGAACCCCTGCATCGCTGTTCATCTTGAAAACTCGGCCGGTGGTGGTCTCCATCCCTGGATGCTAGCCGGTTGTCTCGTATTCGTAGCCATGGTTCCCTGAGCATGCAGGTAATCCGAAATCCAATCAAGTGCTTTTGGGCTAATCTCCTCCACCTCAAGTTTCTTATTATTGAACATATGATTGCATCTTTCTTTTCAGATGAACCAAAGGATAGCACAGAACCTTTGGATGCTTTCATTTGATTGAGATTCGAAGGTTTTAAGAAACTAGTCTCTACTAGAAAAGCCTTCGCCCTGTTTGAATGTCTCACTTTCACTGCACGGTTGCCAGAGACGGCGGGTCCAGTCGCAATCTCTCAAGCAATAGAGTTGGGTTTCAGGGAGTCCACAGAACGGGCAATCAGAGGGGGCCTCTTCGATTCTGCTTTCAACATTGGCCCCAACAGGTAAGATGTCCCTGCTAATCCTCCATAGAAAGACTTTAACCTTAGGTTGAATGGGGAGATGCCAGATTTTTTTCCAATAGCTTTTTATTTTTTGAGCTTCCATGTTACCTTCGTCCGTCCTAGGGTATTCTTTCTGCCATAGCTTCCTGTATGCCGATTTCACATTATAGATCCCATTTTCCGCTTCAGACCATAGAACTATATCTTCTGTAGGTGGATTTCTCAAGGGAATCTTCATAATTTCTATTTGGTCAGTAGCAGAGAAAAGGGTTCTAAGCTTAGGTAGATCCCACCATCCATTGTCTCTGTCAAAGGGAGCTAACCTTGAGGTTTTCCCTGTGTTCACTGTCTTGTTGAAGTGGTAAAAGCTTCCTGGTATTTGGAACCCACCAGTCCTCCCACACATTGATACTATTTCCATCCCCCACTCCCCATCGAAAGCCATCCACAATTTCATCCTTTGCTTTGACCAGGCTCCTCCATATAAACCTAGGATTACTCCCTGTCTTAGCATTCAGTATGTCATTTCTAGGAACGTAACGAGCTTTGAGAATCCTGGCCATCAGAGAATTAGGCTGATTTAAAATATTCCAAATTTGCTTCCCAAGCATAGCAGTATTAACAGTTCTCAGGTCATTAAAACCAAGACCACCAGAATCCTTCGGTTGACACAACTCTTCCCACCTGATCCAGTGAATCTTCCTCTCATCATATTTTTGCCCCTACCAGAATCTCGCTATCAGACTTTGAATTTCCTGAAGAATTCCTTCCGGAATTTTGAACACCATCATAGGATAGATAAGTTGTGCTTGAGCAACTGCTTTAATCAAAATTTCTTTACCTGCAGCAGACAGAGTTAAGCTCTTCCAGTCTTTAAGCTTCTTTCTCACCCGTTCTTTCAAATCATCAAATACCTCCCTCTTAGATCTTCCAATGACAGTAGGCAGTCCGAGATATTTTAGATGTTTCTCAACAACTTTAATCCCCAATGTACCACTGACTTCCAGTCTTCTGCTCCATTTCACATTCCTGCTAAAAGACACTTCAGATTTAGTTAAATTGATACATTGTCCTGACTCCTGCTCATATATTTTAAGGATTCTCTTCAGTTCTTCACTTTCCTCAATAGTAGCTCTGCCAAACACTAGGTTGTCGTCTGCAAATAGAAGATGTGAGATGGTGGGGGCTCTGTGGAAAATTTTGATTCCATGGATTTTCCCCTCCCTCACAACTTTCTTCAACAGGGCTGAGAAACCCTCAGCACAGATGAGGAATAGGTAGGGCGAAAGCGGGTCGCCTTGCCTTAGCCCTCTTGATGGCTTGATGTCTTGAGAACGATGACAATTAACAAGAACTGAATAAGAAACACTCCTAACACACATCATCATCAATTTAATCCAGTATTCATTGAAACCCAACTTACATAGCACCTTTTCCAGAAAATCTCATTCGACCCTATCGTAAAGCTTTAGTCATGTCAAGCTTGGTAGCAAAGAATCCCCTTTTTTCCTTTTGTTTTCCTTTTCAAGTACTGAAAACATTCAAAAGCACTAATAATGTTGTCAGTAATAAACCGACCCTTGATGAAAGCACTTTGTTCTCAGAGCTTAGGTCATTAAGAATCCCTTTGAGTCTGTTGGCCAGAATTTTAGAAGCAATTTTATAAATTACCCTACAATGGCTAATAGGGCGAAAGTCCTTAACCATTGTGGGTGTTTTCACCTTGGGAATGAGTACTATCAATGTGTGGTTGACTTCTGGAGGGAGGTAGCCTAAATTCAAGAATTTTAGTATAGCAGTTGTGACATGGCCTCCAATTGAATCCCAGTTTTGTTGGTAGAAACCAGCAGGAAAGCCATCCGAGCCAGGAGCTTTCGTAGGTCCCATCTCCTTAAGAACTTTGCTAACTTCTTCTTCTCTGAAAGGGGCAGAAAGTTCTTCATTCATGATGTCTGTCACTTTTCTTTCAATGGCATTGACTACAAAATCAGAATTAGGGTTAGGCCTCCCAGTAAACAGAGTGTTGTAGTAATCAACCAAGTGATTAGTAACCTCTTTTTGACCTCTGTGTTTTCTCCCAGATTCATCTGTAATTTCTTTAATTGTATTACGTTTCCTTCACAAAGTAGCTTTGGAGTGGAAAAAATTGGTGTTTTTGTCCCCACCTGTGAGCCAATCCGCTCTGGATCTCTGCCTCCACTTCAATTCAACTTTGTGAATAAGATCTGTTCTCATCGTTTCCAGCTCCCTTCTTCTCTGGATTTGTTGTTCAGTTTTGGGGTCGTATTTAATCCTTGTAAGCTCCTGTTCAATCTTCTCAATCCTCTTTTGTAGATTACCAAACTTCTCCTTACTCCATCTCTACAGCTCTTTCTTGCACTCTCCCAAAATGTTCAGAATATTACCTTCTTCAGTAGAGTTGCAGGCATTAGAAATTACTTCTCTGCTTTCAGGGTCCTGAAGCCAGTAGGATTCCATTCTAAACTGCCATCCCCACTTGATATCCTCTTCTTCTTTATCCTTTGTATTCATTAAGATAGGGCAGCGATCCGAACCATACCTGTCGAGGTGTGTAACTTTATGGTTTGGAAACATCAGCTGCCATTCCCAATTTGCTATGCATCTATCCAGTCTTTCCTCAATAAAACTGGTTCCCCCTCGACCATTGTCCCAAGTAAAAGGGTAGCCCTCGAACCCACAATCCATAAGTATACAGAATTCCAACACATCACAGAAACCTGAGACCATATTTTCATTTATATTTCGACCTCCTTCCTTCTCATCTCCCGCCATTACTTGATTAAAATCTCCCATACATAGCCAAGGGAGGTCACAGGTGCCTTTCAGGCTTCGTAATTGATTCCAAGATTGATGTCTTTCACTTCTATTCGGGTTCCCATAGAAACCAGTAAAACGCCATTTTGGACCTTCCTCCTCATACTCCACAATCACATCATAGTAATTAGTAGAATTTGCCAAATAGGAAATAGTGATACCTCCCTCCATAATAAGCAGATACCACCAGCCTTAATACCATTATCTTCCCTAGCTGGGATACCCCATCCTTTTTTGAACCCCAGTTTCCACTTTACCTTCCTCTAGTCCTTACTAGACAGTCGAGTCTCCATCAAGAAAAGAACATCTGGTTTTTGTTTTCCCACGAGCCTTTTTAACTCATCAACTGCCGAGGTTTGGCCTAGACCTCGACAGTTGTAGCTTATGAGCTTCATTGGGCTCGGCGGCCTTGCTCCTCGGCAAGGACCGCCACTTCGCCATCCACGATAAGGTTTGTGTCTTGCTTGAACTTTTTTCCACCACAGGGACTAGGATCAATATCCATATCTATCACTCCATCCTCAAACACCCTTTTACTGCATGCCGTCTCCCTAACACCTTCAGTGTTCTCAGCTTTTTTCCTTTCCAGTCGAATCCACTTCTTACTGTCTGCTAGATGTGTACCTATTATAATCCCCGAGGGGTTTCCCTTTTGATCAGCCTGTCTTACTTCACTCTCTTTCACCTGAGGAACAGTATTTGATTCTGCATTCTTGCTCAACCTGAATTGCTCTTCTGCTCCATTAATATCCTTGTCTTCTTTATTCCCATGATGGGAATCTCTCACTTCTTGATCTTCTTTTGGATCTGATTCTTTAAAACTAGTAACTTGTAGTTCATTAGCAAGTTCCTTTGTATTGATCTCTCTCGACTCGTTGTTCGTAATAACTTATTTCAATTACTGACAATACATAAAACCTACATGAATGGTAAACCTTCTAGAAAGTCTCAAAGTCCTCCACGAAATCAAAGATATTTTTTAAGAAAATTTATTAAATCAAAATTAAAAAAAATACTATTGACAATCAAATCAAACAAAAAAAATGTTTGCACTAATTTAATCCAATGTACCTCAATTAAATATTCATTACAACCCTCCACATAGCGAGAATAAATTCTCAATATATATGGGGTAAAGACTGCGTATTCCTAGAGAATACCGTACTCCAAGTAATATTTTTAGTATCTCAGTGAATTTCAAGTTCGTATCAAACATACCAATGACTTGAAACTATATATATATATATATATATAACTAGCTTATAACTCGACCCATTGGTCGATTAACATTATGCGTGTTCATATTTGATTGTTTATATTCATTAGAAACACGGTCCATTAATGAAACAAATCATAGAATCCAACATTGGACCATAAGTGCATTCGATCTGGTGGGATCCGATGAAGTTCGATTGAAATGTCCCATCAGAACATTTTTCTTTTGAACTTGTATGATTGGTAGGATGAAGGTCCAAGACATATTAGATTCAATTCGATATGGTCTTGGTCAAAGCTGTGTTGCGTCCAGTGTGGTTTGGGGTTGACCATCAAAACTTGAGAGAAAATGACAAAATTAGAGTTACATCCAATATACTAATAGAATCCATCAAAGTAATGAGGCACAAATTTAGACACTCCTTATCTACAGGTTCCAGTAGTTTGAATAATGAATCGACCTTTACTTTAGTAAATCAATCAATGATTCCTTATTTTAACATAAACATAGGTTGTGGTAGTTGCAACAACCATAACACCTAAAGATCCAATAGTTTCCACTCTCCGTTGTACAACCAACTTTTTATCCCTCCATCTTCAACCTCTCGACGTATATGTTTTAAACCAAAATTCAATTTCTAATCCTCCTTCTGCAACTCCGGTTATGCTATTTTGATGGACCTTCTCTCCATGAACCTGAATTTCTCTATCAATTGAGTTTCTTGTCAGCTTGATCTCCAACTCCTCAATCCTCTTTCTTGTATTTGGCGAACTCATCTTCCTCGAGGCTGTTTTAATAAGCTCGTAAAACCAACACTCATCTTCAATTCCATCAATATGCTCTTCTCCTCCTTCTCTGCCTTCACTTGATCCAGTTCACTTCCATGTCCTTCAATACCCTATCCATTTTTATTAATACCCTGATCATCTACCACTTCTCTCTCTTCAACTGCTT